CATGTATGGATGGTTGCTGACTTTCTTCAACTCCATGACAATATTCAACAAGGATGACTTCTGACCATTGTTCCCCTCGTTAAGGGCAGCGTAATTCCTGGTCAGGATGTTTTTATAATACTCAAGTTGGACATCGGAAAGCTCTACGCGGATGATCTTCTCGGTCTTGGGTGGAAGGTCTGACTCTACCGTCTCTTTAGTTCTTCGCAGGATGAAGGGTGCAATGGCGGCATGCAGATCCCGAAGTTTCGTCTGAGCATCTGCGGCGGCAAGAGTATCTAGATCCTCATCTATGTGAACCTTGCCAGGGTTTAAGAAGTCGAGAAGCGATGACAATTCAGCTAAGTTATTCTGAATAGGAGTGCCAGTGATCAGAACCTTAGAAGGTGCACCGAAACTCATAAGTTCCGAATACAGCTTAGAGTCTTTATTCTTTAGGCGATGAGCCTCGTCCACAGCCAGAGCTTGCCACTTGATGCTTCTTAGGAAGTCGGCATCCATCAAGATGTATTCATAAGAGGTGACAAGAACATTGAATTTATGTTTCTTCGGGTTGCCATTAAACATAAGTTCATGATCTCGTATCGTATTTCGCGCCTCTGCATTGCCCAGATAAACAACGTAATTAAGGTCTGGGGTCCACAAGTTGAAGGTATCACACCAAGCAGGTATGACACTTAGAGGTGCAACAACTAAAAAGGGGCCTTCTTGCTTGCGCTCGTTTCGGAGCCAACTCAAAAATGAGACGGTTTGCACGGTCTTGCCAAGTCCCATCTCATCTGCAAGAATGACATTATTTGCACGACACCAATTGAGACACAAGAAGTTCAGTCCCGTAAGCTGAAATCCTCTAAGTTCGCCGTTTTGTATGTAGCTCGGCTGTTTTTCAAGTTTCAAAAACTTGCTTCGCGTTGAGGGATTCGACTCGTTTCGATCAGACGTCCACGATCGTGATTGCCGGTCGAGGAACTGGTCAATCTTGTCTTGAGCCAATTCGGCAATTGTTGAGGCTTGCTCCCATGTGCAATGCTCATATGTGAGACCCTTCCATTTGACGAAATATTCTCGTCCTTCATCACCGCTCCGCTGGGTAACAACACGCTCTACTTTTGTATAGTCTTCTAATGCGTCTTGTTCGCGTTCCTTGTCGAGCATGTATTGCTCTCGGGTCTCGGGTGGAAGATCTTCGCCGGCAAACTTGAGCTCTATCTCGTACTCGATGGTCCTCTTGTAATAATTTTCAAGTTTTCGGAAGCCACGGTACCCGCGGAGAATCTCCAAAGTATCCCACGTGTTGTGAAGGTAAGATTTACCTTGCCATTTGATATTATACTCAAAGTCTTCCCGGGTCGCGTCCGGGGTTAATTCACCACCATCCGTCATGCGATGGCCAACAACTTTTTCAATGTACATAGTATCTTCGGTCAGATCTTCACCAGCCCAGTAATTGGGTGTCAACTCGGATTCATCCTCGTCGTCAATATCACTCTCGTGGTATGTCTGAACTTGTTGGACAGCTCTTCTATTGGACCATCGTTTCTCGGCATACAATAAGGACTGTGGTTGGGCTTGTTGGCGACGAGCTTTCTTCATGAATGTTCGAGCACGAGCTCCACCGTAAGTATCAGAGTCGGAATCATCAGCAGGCGTTTGTCTAGCAGGCGTGCCCCGTTTTGAGGCTATAAGCACCAGTTTGTCAGCTTTATGAAGAACCCCATCTACACTTAACAGGAAACCTACATTGTCGTGAGATTTGCTCCACACGGAGCTTCTTCGTCCGACGATTAGTAGGAACAACGTCAGAGCCGGAGTCATCCTCGTCATCAGATTCAACCTATGAATATGATATTAGAATTATAGTTATCATAAATAGGCTTTGGCAGTAAACATGTAACTTACGATCTTAGGTTGCTTCGTAGGGCGAGACTGGTAGAGACGAATTAGTAGGAGTCTAGAATAATGGTTTGATTTGCATACACTTCGTCTTAAGCCGTATAACTCTGGATTCTCCCGTATATACTCATCCTCACCACCTCCAGCTTTTCTCTTCGGAACACGACGAGAGCTATTCGAAGTGGATGTTTCATCATGGGGAGCGTCACTTTGAGAAGGAGCAGGGCTATCCTCCATGTCAAAGTCGGCATCATCTGAGGCATTATTGGCTTCATCATTATCGGTTGACTCGGCACCGCCTTGGGAGTCTATGTCTTGTTCGGCATCTTGGGGTGATTGATTATTATTATTAGGGGAAGATGGGGAGGATGATTCTCGAAGGGCTGTATTATCGTTCACGTCCGATAGGTCGCTCTCGCTAACGCGATCATCTAGAATAATTCTTGCATTCCTTCCCGCCTGCGGCGACGAATGGCCGTTGACGGGACTAGGCTCTGGTGAGCTCGACATAATGGGATCGAACACGCCTGTCTGCTACGTGACAGCAAGGTTAGCAGATATTTACAGAGAAAATGCTACATATATAGGGTTGACGGATAGCGCTGAGATCAGCGATCATAATAACGAAATGAATAGCTATCAAATATGAGAAATGAACCTGGCAATGGATCTGGCGCATATCAAGTGATGCTTCGATGAAGACAAGGCTGATAGGTGATGGAAAAGGAATTGCGGTCTACCGGTGTTGACGTGACGTGTGAGGAAGTCTCAACGCGTCAGACAACCCGAGAATGACGGATTCCATCCCAATATTAGCGTCCGAGTAGCTCAGATGCAAGTGAAGAAGGGATAGTAAGGTCGCGTGGACATGTCTTCGAGATGGATTCGATGTCAAGTACGCGGCAGAGTACCAAGCTCCAGCCTTGTCCAGCAACAATACAAGCAGCGGGGTATAATTAAAATACTTACGAATCATCAACTTGAGTATCCCAGACAGGAAAAGAAGTAATACGATATGGGTCTATGAGGTTGATGATGTACGGGTGCGGCCCCGTATGGTGCGTGTTGTGGGCAATAGTGATGAGAAACTGGCGGAAAATCGACCTGGAAGAATTGGTGGTCGGGGAACATTGAAAGTGGACGGGACGGACGGTGGGAGGTACCTTACCTTGCCCAGCTTTTTGAAGACACTAGTAGAAATATAGACTAGCTCGCACAGCCACCAGCCACAGTGACTGTGCTTAGAAAGTTCGACGCGAATTATGGAAGTGAGTAAATGTACCTTACGTGTAAGTTTCCAACCAAATTAAGCTTTTTATTACACATTGCAAAGTAAAACCCCTCCCATTAACTTGCGTTTGCGACTGTATAAGTCCGTGTCAATGGCTATAGCAACTGTGATTGCAGTGACGGAGTCTAAAAGGTAAGGTACCTAATCTATCAGATCTTTTTACAGCTTAGAATAAACATGATTAGAAAAACTTTATAACTACAAAATCAATTAGATATAGTTAGTCGGAAATTACGCTGATATTCAATATAACTGCATAGTTATTTCATTTACTTGAGTGACTTCTGACACGGTGCCAAGTTACAAACAAGCTGGAAAAATGACACAAACACCTGACAGACCGAAGCCTATTGAGATGTATATTTGTAGCAATCACGTGATATATTTATAGATAAAGGTTGTATCTAGGTATAACTAGCCTCTCATTAAACTAACAGAAAATTTATAGGACTTTGATATTAAAATTATTGTCTTTCGGTATCTCAATATTAGGTACTTACCTAGGTATATGACCTTTTGAGGAATAGACTAAACTTAAGCTAAATATGAGAACGAGTATTGATGAGGTGGCTTGAACACGAGCTAAAGCAGAAGCTTCTTTGAGTTGAGGTTGATTCAACGGAAACTAACTTATCAAAGTAAGCGCTAATTGGCCGATAAGGAAATATATTAGTCAGCTCGACATACATAGCAAATCTTCGTTTGTCGCGCTCAACCCCTGACGCGCTTTGGAATGAATAATGCTATTCAACCAATCAGACTCTTCCAAATCAAGTATATGCCTGAGGACATAATGTATGGAGTGAATTGGTCTTTTTATTACCGTAACTCAAGAATAGAATTTATTTAGGTAGTCATTGATGAATTATGTCACGAAATTTTTCTATCAATCTTAGTTGACTTAGAGTCAACATACCTATAGTATTGTTACCCAGCAATGCTCCAGGAACACCAAAGTTAGAGAATAATTTCAAGGAGACGCTCAAAATTCAAGGTTAAATTGAATATTATATCATGGCTACAATTGTAACACAGTCATGCATTTTAGTTTATACTAAAGAATAGGTTCCCCTTAAGCAGTAACCATTCTTTATTGAATGACAGTAGGTTATCTCTTCCGCTCGGAAGGCATCATGATAAGGTTAGAGAATCGCCTCTTAACTAAACGCAAAATAGCCTTACGCATTGTATCAGTGTCGGCCTCTGACGTAAAAGCTGCTGATACAGTTGCAGGCATGTCTTTGAACCAAGCTGCTGCTACTATCATAGCGACATGCCCGCCTTGTTGAGGCGTTGGGGCGGCCTCCTTCTCAGCCACCAACGAAGCCAACAAGACAGAAGGGCGGGCCTCGACCAGCACATGGCTAATTACGTCAAATCCACGGGCGCTTAGCTCTCGAATAGCGGCTGGTTCTCGGCCCATGAGGAGATGCGATTCCTCGGGTCTGTGGGCTGCCTCACTGGCCAGCGCTAAATCGATTACTTGGAGGAACTCCTCCCCATTGAGCGGTTGGATCCCTTTCCGTAACAGAAGAGCCTCTATCTCGGGGTTTTCGTGTATATAGCCTACCTCGGAGATCATCCCTAACCCCACCGAAACGCAAGCCTAGCCATGTGGCCGACACCAGCGAGAAAAGGTGTCGAGGAAGCCGTTCGCTGAGCAGTAATTACTTTCTGTTACCGTGCCCACGGTTCCCGAGACCGACGAGGTAAGCAAGAAGGGGTCGGGCTCAGTTTGCGCGTCTTTTTCGACGTGTACTTGCAACACGTTATGCAGATTCCAGGTCCCTTGCCATTTGGGATCAATACCTGTGTGCTATGCTTCATAGAGACCCATGGCTGCCTGGATGACACTACGGATACGCCGCCCCGTAGCCATGCAGGTCGAAGCTGCGGCGGTCACATTGGTAATTTTGGAAACATCACCGCAGATGATTCCGACCGTGGCCCCGGCCTCTTCCAGCCGAGATACAAGCTGTTTTGCACTGGGTTTATTAGCTCCGGGGCTGCCTAAAAACCTAAGGCGAAGTGGCGGGCTTCTTGTGTTATCATCCATTAAATGAGACTACGACCCTAGCCACCCAGACATCCGACCAGAAGATAGACCTTTTCGGCGTTGAACACACTGGCATACGTAGCCGGAGCGACCCGTAATAAATGTAGTGTTAGTCTTCATGATTTGCCTTACAGGAATTACGATTTGTATCAAGTTGTGGCTTACCGGGACACGAGCCGATGGAAGGGGTCCTGGGTATAGAACAGATCGGACAAATCGAAGGCGGTAAAAGTTGCCTTGCGAAGAAACGCGCGCATGTCCAGCTTTCCGGCGTCAATGAGCTCCCGCTTGCCGATCTTCACGAATCGCCCAAACTCGGCTAGACAAGGCCAGCTCCAGCGAGTTGCCGACGACGTCGACGCCCCGACCGCTCGTAGCCTGCATAACGGCTTGAACGAAGGACGGATTGCGCGAACTTAAGACGTGTGGGGGCAGAACGCCCATCTCGTTGATAAAATAGTCACGTTTGGCCTCTGAGCCGGCGGTGGTGTGGATTATGGCGTCTATTCTTCGGGCTAGGGTGAATCAGCACAAATTCTCCGGGACGCAGACGCGCGCGTTTGTTAATAACGTAGAGCGCGGTGCCATAGACAAGCAGCAACGTCGACACGACAGTAAACTCTTCGCTGTCCAGCATGTACATCATCCCGACTCGGTCAATGGATAGCCGCGCTGGATTCGCCTCAATAAGTGTGTTTAGCTTCTTCTCGCTATGGTATCTTAGTCGTTGTCGGGAAAGGGAATTTACTTGAAAGTCAGGGTCATATCTATTCATGTGTAGGAGACCGTCTTTTTTCGACGAACTCGCAATCGTTCTTGTCATATTTGGCTACAAAGGCTTTCAGTGCATTTTCGCAAACCATAGTAAAGTTGAACTGCTGTAGGGTCCCGATATTAAGGACTGAATATCGCAACGTGGGTTGTTCTAGCATCAATGTGCGCGAGAGGCCGCTGGAAAGCGTTGGGTTAGGATCTAGCGTATTACCCAGCATATTTACACTCCCGAACCAGAGCAATTCTGTTGTCGTGTTAGTCATGACGCGCAGTCAGTTCATATTAGGAACTCGCCCTCCATCTCTAACAGAGATATGCATATGTCCGTTTCGATAATCCGTGTGCCGTCAATCTGATAGAGCTTGACGAGGTCTACCGATGATGATGATGATGATGAAATCGTTTACGTCTATTTGTCTGCTGTATGCTACCTAGGTATATACAACGCGCATCTTTGGCGCTTCTAGACGTCTAGAGTACTCCCTGAGGGAACAGAGCTAGAGTATCGCCTGACATAAGAAAATAGCGAGGTCTACCGATGGTACGCTAGCTATCTGCTATATATATGTTCCTAAAGTGTTTGCAAGCTCTATTACAGCGGAGGTTAAGTTCTCAGCTTGTTTGCCAACAAGTTAGTTACTGCATGACCACGTCATACAAGCTACATTACGCAGGAGAAGAGATACTTGGCACAATTATAGCATTGCGGCCTATGATTGTCGTCTATACTAGCCATATAGTTAAGGGGACCTACTTTCTGAGATCTAATATGTCGAAGCCGGCGGTTTTCAACTTTGATACTGCAGTATCTGATTTTCGTGCAATGAAATCCCATGATCAGATTTCAACTTGGCGATCTAGTGCCTGATGCTGGTCCTAGACCCGTTTCGAAGTAGTATACTATATAAACCCGCGTAAGTAATAAAATACTTCAAAGGGAACTGAGTATCCAACCTACATATAGGGGGTATCATTAGGAGCAACTATCTATTTTTAGGGTACGACTCATTCTAGGAATGAGGAGGAAATCATATTAGCCTTCATCGCCTTCCCTCTACCGAAATACTACCATTCTCGGTCAGACTAGCGGAATTATAGGACCCGTCACGCGAGAAGGCCGTCTCTTTATCCAACATAAATTGCCATTCTCTAGCCTTGTATCCGAACGCGTCGCCGCCGAACTCTAAGACACGACTGCGTGGGTTCTTGTGTACAGCAAGATCTAGAAGCGCGCTAATGGTAGCCCAGAATTCGTCGTCCCTCGTGTCGTCGTGTTGTTGGTCCACGAAGGATGTCACGTAGTCCCTCAGCGACACTTCGGCTTCCGGACGTGGTCATAGAACATCGGGCTTCCGGTGGATTCTCAAAATCGGCTGGCGCTGAGTATGCAGGTCTGCAGGTAGGCTAGTTGTTGCCCTCGGGCTGCTCAGAATTCTTGATATACAGTGAAATGCGCCTGCCTCTAAATCGACCTTGGGAATCCCGCGCGAATCTCGCAGCGTACCATCGATTCGCCTACTATAGAGGCCAATCTCTTTAGAGTGATCATGAATCTCACCATTAGTTTCGGCCTCAGAATCAATTGCACTATCAGTGTCCGAGGTGAGACCTTTCCATGTAGGCTGGATCCTACACTCCGCAATAAAGACAGGGAGCCAAATTTCCAACGCGGACACGTGTCCCGCCGTTGTGCTGAGGATGGCCGTCTGGAGTGCTGCGTTCATGGTGATGGGGTGTACGTGATAGTATGTACTGTCCGTTCTAGGGATAGGGGGTTCTAATAGCGTGACCCCGATGGTCTCGTACCGAGTTCGTTCACCGTCAGTTTGTAGACAAGAGAAGTGAGGACTGAAGCACAGCCCTTCCTCGCCAAACGAGTGACCAACCATGAATGTTGAATCGACTCCCCAACTATGTAGCAAGTCGACTAGCCCGGTTTTAACTGTATTGTAAATAGGCTGGCTACGGGTGACTTCATTAATACGAGTGTCCAGTCAGGCCTATGTGGGGGAGGGCCTGAAGTACACTATCGAGCCGACAGATTGTGTCGTGGAAATTTTGACTTTTTAACAACAGCTCTTTAGCCATGCTGGCATATTGTGCTCCTTGACCTGTGAATACGAAGAAGGGGTAGTTTATTAACTGTTCTTTTTAGAGCAGCTTCGCCTGCAGTTATATAAACTAACTTCCCTCTGACCTTCTCGTGTTTGGCTAAAAAGAAACTTCTATGCCGGAAGTGATCTCGACTATTAGTACTATTAGTGAGGGTATGGGCTGAAATCAAGTACCGGCTCCTTGTGGAATTGCGTTACAGCTTGGGGGAATTACTGGATAAGCACATCCAGTGACTTGGTGACGCCCCTGTCACCAGCAGCACTGTGAGCTTTTGATTATCTCGTGCGTCCAGGTCATTTCTCGAGGAACTATGAATCTCTAGGTAATCTTGGCCAAGGTAACTCTCCTCAGACTCAAGAATGGCATGGGTATTGGTGCTGTCGTTGGAAAGTCACCATCACACACTCTACCGTATGCTTCGTCGCAGAATAATAGAACCCGTTCCTCTGATACCCGTATTACTCACGTGTCATATACGAATTTCAAAATGCACTATCACATCGCACACTCAGTAACTAATAGTAAGCCGCCCCATAATTTATTCTTAATAGGAACCCGGCAGTCATCTCTTTAACACACTTTAACACACTACAAGATCCATCGAACTAACATTACATATACCGTTATCATGGAATCCTCTAAAACTAGACGTTGGTGACACGAGTACTGTGAGTTCGTACGGTTCCTTTAAACTTTACCGATACGGGCTCGTAAACTCGTGCCGTGACTGGAGAATTAGGAGCATGCCAGTGGAAGTTATAGTCAATCATATTTCATATACTCCATTAATAATGGAATTATATCAGCTAGCTATGTTGGTATATCTCAATCGCGCATCTAATAACTTACTTAACCAGACAATTGGGACCCAGCGGTATATTGATAGAGCATTTACTATATTTTCTGAGCTGGGCTCTTGTGTCCGGAATTTTCCTGTCTTTATCTTAGGATGTGAGGCTCGACGGAACGACCAACGGATGGTGGTTCTGGATCTCATTTCCAGGTTTGAAAAAAAAGATTCCTCTCGGTCGTTCAACCACGTCAAGATATTGATGCAGGCAATTTGGGCGCAAGACCACTTAGCTGACGGTGATATCGAATATTGGAACAATCTAAGCTATATAATTAGTCGTTGTTCGATTCTCCCTACGTTCGTCTAGTTGAAATACTGGATAAAACGAATCGGGTGAATCGAATAAACTCCATAAGTTTACATTCCTACCTTGGTATTCTGTTATAAATCCAAGTATTACACTATATAACGCCCGGAATCCGACTTCTAAAAGCCGAGGACATTATTAATTATCTGTAAAGGTGCCTTAAACCATTCAAATGTTGCATGTAGGTACCCGGAGGTAGGTAGCTATCCGAATACGTACATGTATCCGCTGCCATGTATCTATAAGTATTGGTCATACGTAAAATACATGTACTGTAGGTCATCATATAGAAAAGATGTAATACTGGCTTCCATTGCTTTACATCTCATCTTCATCATCTAATATTCAAATCTTTCCACAACCTCATATATCCTGTTCATCCTCGTAAAACCCTCCCAATGGTTTAAACCTACTTGCAACATGGTTATGACTTTTGACATCTCACCTGAGACAAGGGCAGGCTTAATTCATCATTTATATCGACAGCTCTTCGTTACGCCCCCGCCCGTGTTGCAGCGCGATATCAACTTAGGTGGGAAGACGGCCATAATCACAGGGGCAAACGGCGGAATAGGATTAGAAGTAGCTCGGCAGCTTCTAGATCTTGGCTGCAAAGTCATTTTAGCCGTTCGCGACGAAAGAAAGGGCGAGATAGCTCGACGGGATCTCTCCAATGGACGCGATCTTGTATCTGGGTTCATTCAGGTCTGGAAACTGGACTTATCATCCTATGACTCAATCATAGCCTTCGTGGAGCGTACTAAACGCTTAGAGGGTCTCGATATCGCTATTATCAACGCAGGTATATACAAGGTTACAGAGTCATTCAGCCCAAGTGGTTATGAGGAGGGCGTGCAGATAAACTTCCTGGCAAACATGCTCCTCGCGGTTTTATTATTGCCTATTATCAAAGAGAAGAGAGTCGGAAGCCACCCCGGCCACATTTGTATAGCATCATCTGACACGGCTGCTTGGACGAAATTTGAGGAGGGAAACCCAATGCCTGTTCTCGCCGCCTTTAAACGGAAGGCGGTAAATTAGGATATGGGGGATCGCTATGGGACAACGAAGCTTCTCAGACAACTATTTTTAACGGAATTAGCCAAACATGTCTCTCCGTCTATTATTACTCTTTCTTGCGCCAACCCTAGCTTCTATAGCGGCTCAGAGCTTACCCACGAAATACACGGCATCCTCCACGTCATGTACAAGATCCATATTTACTTGCTAAGCCGAACTAGCTCTGTTGGCGCTCGTATATTAGTTCATGCTGTGACTACTCTCGGTGAGCAGGCGCATGGGCAGTACATTGAGGACGCAAAGATCCAACCGTGAGTTTTACCCTGCATCCAATGTCTCAGATTACCTCTTAAGTTAACACGAATGTTCCAGTATGGCGGTTATCGTATATAAGCCCGAAGGACAGCGTCTTTCGAAGCAGGTTTACGAGGAAACATTGGATGAACTTTCGTTCGCGGGGGTCAGAGACATCGTTAACGAGGTATCAAAGACTAAGTAGTATAGGTTAGGTACATAATACCTAAGCCCCCTAGCGATGCTAGTTTAAACAGAGTCGAACATGGAAATACATCTTATAAAAGCATTTATATGGTGATACCACCAGATTTTGAAGCTGCGGCCAATTTGGTGATGTCTTAGCAATCACCCGTTTCTCGGAAAAGGTCCCCCTGATCTAAGACCACTTTTGGGCCGTTATTAAATTTACCCCTATGTGGAAATAGTACATCAAGCAAGTTATTTGGTACATACCTATGTAAACCATTTCCTGGCCGATTACGTCGTTGACAATCGCATCCGATTTTGACGAGCCGATCCGACGTTACATCGGAATTACAGTCAGCAAAAGCGGGTAGGGGAAGATCGAGTGTATCTACCACACCCATGAGGCTCGATTATATGCTGATTTGTTAGGTTTAAGTTTAATTTATATATGCCTCCTATAAACGTATAAGCCAGTACAGTATAAACCTTTAATAGCATTTCCGAGTATGCTTCATGTTTACTATCGGTCATTCCGCGATGTGGGTAAATATTGAGACATCAGTCTCACCTTGGGGTATCTTCGAAACCGCCAAACACAAAACATTAAGCCTTCCATATTTCAGACGCCATTGCTCGGTTAGAATGGTGACATTATATTCATAATTACCCCCTTTACCCCTGTTTATATGGGTCCCGAGGTTAATAACATAATGTCAACCGCTGTTAAAGTTATAATACCAAGGCTATTTACTTCGGGTCTCAGCAGAGTTCACTTATGAAGATGAGCCTTCATTGGCTACTTTCTTGTGATAACTTTAATGATACATCATGCTTTTCATCTAGTCTATAATTTTCGTACTGTAACAGAGTCTATAAGTTCCCTGCCCGCATATTTAACTTCACATCACTACAGAAAAAAGGCAAGCTTACAAAGATTTTAATGCTTGGAATCTATTCTACGAATGTTGAGTCTTAGACGCAAGTACAATCCCAATGGACGTATAAGGGACATGAAGATAAAGCGCGTGCAGCCCTGAATCTAATTAGCCTTGATCTTGAGTTTACCTGAATGGCTATTGACCTATGGAACAAACTTAAGGTAGATAATGTATTCGTGGGTATCATGAATTCTATCTGCTGAATCAACATAACTGAAGCTTTAACATGCTGTTTGAAGACAGATAATTTTACGCGAAGCGCTTCGACTGCATTCGGGCTGGAGTTAACTGATGATCTCGAGGCTACATCAGGGTATTCAAAGCTCACGGTATTCGAGTCATATATTCAGTTACAATAACGGACTACCTATTAATTACCCCTGAAGGAAGAGGGGATATCTCTTATAGGAAACCGATAAGAAAAGTGGAAAATTGTCGGTTTAGACATATTAGGTAAACTATTTTACCGCCGATTTGGAAGATCTTTATCCGAATGGTTTAAAAAGGGCCCGGCTCTGTGGCCTTATTTAAAGTTCTTACATTCCATGTGTTTGTGGTACGGATCTCGGAGTAAGAGTCGAGCAGATGCGATGTATTGAATCACCACTTATTATGCATACGCGGGATCGTGCATTAGCGCACCATTAGAATATCCTCCAATGATATCGCCTGCGGTTTTAAGCGGCTTATTGTATAGAGCCTCCCTGCTTTGCATGTACCTGATCTTTATGGGTATTTTTTTTATAAGGAATTGAAAATTCATGAGAAGAAAATTGTTTTATGTGCGCAAAGTGCGCGTATTTTGACTACCTAGGCTTAGATACGAAGACGCGGCCTTCGGAGCCGCGTCCGTTTGAACCCTTGGTTCATCGGAGAAATGGAGAAATGGCTTAGGGGCTAACTAAACCCCGAATTTTATACTATCCAGAATAGGGGTGACCATACGTTACAATGGTTACGGAATATTGGATACTTAGTATTCAAATAGGTAAGATCGGAAGCGAATTGCTGCGGCGACTAGTAGCTTATTCGTTAGTCTGCGGACATATATTCCGATATCTAAACCTCCCCTTATGTAATTGGACCTCCCCTTTCCCCCTCAGCTCGATGATTATCAATCTCGTCCGCTGGGTTGCATTCTCGGATATGCATTGTAAGCTCTACCGTAATAGAAACCTTGAATGATAGCAAGAGTCGGTTTTGGTCTATTATAGACAATGACTAAGTCAAGTGAACTTGTAGAATTTGTATATGAACAAGTAGTATCAATCGTGGGAATGCTTACTTTGGTTTCTTCCCCTTTTCTGATTTTCTATATTTGTTAAAATTGTCGTTTAGGATTTAACTATCTCCAATGTGAAGATAAGTTACTATGTCATCTGAACTTGAAAACCATGCTGGGTTTGAGGCCACACTTATTGGCTTCCTCTATCGACAATTTACTAAACCAAAACCCCTGCCAGAAGGCACTGATCTCACAAACCAAGTTGCCATAATCACGGGAAGCAATACGGGGCTAGGATTTGAAGCATGTCGACAGTTTCTAAAGCTTGGATTATCTCATCTAATCATGGCCGTGCGCTCACAAGCGAGAGGCGACGAGGCCGCTAACCAACTACGAAGTGAGTTTCCGACATCTAACATATCTGTTTGGACCGTTGAAATGGAATCGTACGACTCTATCCGTGCCTTCGCAGACCGGTGCGCAACCCTGCCACGTATCGACATAGTTCTCCTAAACGCCGCTCTGATGAAGATGGCTCATACGACAGTACCCACTACTGGCCACGAGCTCACGATGCAGGTGAATTACTACTCGACTGTGCTTCTAGCTATCCTACTCCTCCCCATACTTAAATCCAGAAAGGCTATCGATGCCCAAAGACCTCCTGTCCTTAGTATTGTGGGGTCCGACTTGGCGTATCGGGTGGATATCGAGACCAAGGGTCCTATACTACAGCAGTTGGACAAGTCCGAGGGTTATGGTCAGATTCTCTGGTACTCCAGATCGAAATTATTGCTCACATTCTTCGTTGCCAAACTTGCCGAGTTTGTCGACGCCGATGATGTCCTCATAAACATGTCGAACCCCGGTACTATCAAGGGCACGGGATTTTTCCGCGAATTCCCCACACTTGCCGGGAAAGTGGTAGCGGTTCTCCATTTTCTCTTCGCAAGGCGAGTAGAGGTCGGTGCCACTATGTATCTTGATGCGACTATCGTTCAAGATAAAGAAGGCCATGGAAGTTTTATCAGCGACTGGGCTATTAAACCGTACGTATTGCCATGTATCTCGTGATTTCATAGTTGGTAGATGTGGTGCACTAATATTAGCAGATACCCCCTGATTTGGTATGGGGCGGAAGGCAAGGAATTCAATGAAAGACTATGGGAAGAGACAATGCAAGAACTAAACTTCGTTGGCGCGTCGAAGATTATAGAGGACATGAAAGCACGATGACAGGTAGCAATGAAGATATTGGACAGAAGAAGGGTACCTACTTAGTTACTTAGTGTATCGCGTAGAAGTATCGTCACCCTATATCCATCCATAGTGCTATAAGACTATAATGTATTACTTGACTACCTCTTTAAGATAAGGATTAGACTAAAAACACAAAGGACTGTTTTGATCCAAGAGTCCACTTTGCTTATTCTTGTAATCACCATCTATCTACTACGGGCTGAGCCCTCGAGGTCATCATGTTGGTGCTATTGGTTTATATAAGGGCTACTGATGATTTGATAGTAAAGAAGAGGGACATAAGCTCCTGTCGTGATCATGCATTAACTCTAATTATTACTCGACACCTTTTTAAACTTAGCTTTTTGCGCTATGGAGACGTGTGTATACCATGGAAATAGTGTAGTTATAGGAAAATGTAACTAGATGATACAAATTGTCCATGTTGGCTGAGGGGGGCAGCTTAACGAATTAGGATATCGAATGGCTCTATCTAGAACATATATTAGGTACCTCCAATCCTGAACATATAGATGTGTTATTTAATATATGACATGTTGAGTTACTTGTATCGGCCTCTTGCTTCGAATTACTTGTTTTCATTTGTTTCGTTCATCTGGCGCTCTTCACTCTTTATTTCTTCCTGCTGTCCAATCGTTTGAGCTTCTGTGCCACTAAGAGCTTCACTCCTGCCTTTCTTCATAGAGCCCCATCGAATCCCCAAAGCACCCACAACAGACACGCAACTCAAAGCTAGCGAAATGTAAAGTGTTAGTATGAGAGAGCGGCTATAAGCCACAATTGCTGCCCCCTGGCTCTCTGGCGGTAGCGTAGATATTAAGTCACCAGCACCTGAGTTTAGGAGCGAGGAGACATCCAGGTCGGGAACTATGGACTGAAGATTGGACCGCAGCTCGCTTTGTAGGATACTCTGTGCCACAGCCACAAAGATCGAAGAACTGAGATTTTGGACCAGCGTGATAAATGTTACACCCACAGGTATGTCAGCACTTGGCAATACGGTTTGGACTACGTAGCTGGGCTGTCCAAACCCGAAGCCGACACCGAACCCATATAACAGCTGATACCCGACAATTCGAGCTGTAGAAGAGTTCAGGTCTATCGTCGTTAATAGTGCGGCTCCGGCTATTGCTAACGTAGTGCCTGCGATCATCCCCGGATTATAGTACCCAACCATGCTGGTAACTGCACCTGCAACGATGGAGCACACAACATATCCAGCAATCAGAGGAGAAAGCAACGCCCCTGACGAAAGCGCTGAAGAGCCACGCACTGTTTGAAACCAGACCGGACTTTATCAAAGGGAGTCAGTCAGTAATTACTACTTTTTAGCAATGATAGTGGGGTACGTCTTAGGAGCAGATGGACCCTTTAGGGATTAATGACTCCCAAGACAGACTAAAGGGGTAAGGAATAACTCTTGAAATAACTTACAGGTAGACTACAGCGACATAAACACCGCCAGTGATACACATAGCATAGCTAGCAGCGAGCCATATGTCACGGTTCCGTGCTAAACTTGAAGGGATTGTACGCGCAGTTCCGGTAATCGACGTTGTCTGGATTGCAACGAACACGATCGTCAAGACACCAAAGACAACAAATAAGGCGATGATACGTCTATCGTTCCAAGGATATGTTGACCCTCCCCACTGTAGCGCGAGTAGGAGACATATTAGGGCCCCAACCATACAGGCCGTCCCTGGTATATCTAACTGCTGGCATTTCTTGACGAAGCTGGTAGCTTGTGTCTCCTGTTCCTTAGGCATACGAACGAACAGGGCACACAGGACGACTGTGACAGCCCCTAGAGGCAGGTTGATCCCGAAGCACCATCTCCACGTAGCTCTATCAGTTAGTGCTCCGCCGAGAAATGGGCCGATAATGGCTGCGAGCCCGAATACACCAGACATGATCCCTAAGTAAGCTGCGCGGCGATCGAGAGGGATGAGCTTAGTCGTGATCAATATACCACCAGAGAAAATGCCAGCGGCTCCGAGGCCAGCAATCGCTCTGCCGATTACCAAAGCTACCGAGTTCGGAGCTGTGGCACAGATCAAAGATCCGACCTCGAATAAGGCAATAGCAGCTAAATACACCAGCTTAATAGAGAAGTGGCTGTAGAGTTTTCCATAGAATAGTTGGAAGCTACTCAAGGTGAGGAGATAAGCATTTGTCCACCACCCAATGTCCGCTAGAGCATTGAATTCGTCGCTGATTACTGGTGTAGCTGTAGCTAAGATGGTTTGATCCTGTGATGATCGTTAGTGTCGTTTCGACCACTAAGCCTTGCGTCCGTACCATGCCCGTCAAGAAGACAGCTAAACAAAGCGCGACGACAATCAGTGTCAATCGAAGATTCCCAGGCTGCACGGCACTCTCAGCGGCGTTCTCCTGTGATTCCATTTTGGGGGATTAAAGGAATAGTGATGTGGTTGATGGAAAGAATATTGAATGCAAGGCTTGGGCACTCTGTGCACTCATTGTATGGGATTACGTATCCTCGGATGGCATTGGTTGACGTGAGACAAAGACTGTCATTTTTGATTTATACATGTTGGCAGTGTATCTACCTAATTAAAGAAAACAATATTTCCAACAAGTAGGTACCTCAACTGTTGTCGTACAGATAAATTATAGGAGGTACCTAGATTTGTGATATGTGATGGAGAAATCACCAGATGCGCGCTGTACCTGTGTACCTAGGTACCCAACTACGAATTATATATACCTATATAGGAAAAGTGGGACATAAGCCGCTTGCTTCCAAGAACAGGCCTTCCGAAGTAGATGCTGGTGCTGACGATTTTGATCGAAACGGAATGAGGTGCTACTAATTGTACCTAGACATTGAATGGCTATAATTGAGATGAAGATGTATTGTGTAAGTTCCTAGAGACATCTGTACATATGTCAGATGCTAACAATTCAATCTAATTACTTAGTATGAGGTAATTATGTAATAAGATACATCGAAATATATAAGTGGGTCTATTTATGGGTCTTATATATGATAGATACATGCAGGTAGCCGGCCCCCTAATAGGTACGTACCTATATAAGCTGCAAAGTGATTCTGCTGGGTTGTAATGTAGCAGCCAACATCAACCTCCCTTCCATACTACGCAAGGCAGGCTGGCAAGCTTATACTTACAACATGATTGATCCGTGTGTCAGGTGGCGAGTTAACCCACAGGTCCGAGCAGTATATGTTTTATTACTAAGTAAGGGATGTAAGACTTAGACCAACCCTCCTTCTCGCCAAACAATTATCTCTTACCATCTATCTTACTATCTAAAAAAATCCTCTTTTTAACTACGACCTATTGTTTTAATCATGGAGTTCTTCGATGTCGCAATCATTGGAGGAGGACCCGCGGGTCTAACTGCCGCAGCTACACTAGCTCGCCAGCTGCACACTGCCGTCGTTTTCGATTCCAAAACTTATCGAAACGCGAAGGCATCCCAGATGCACATGGTGCCAGGTTGGGAGAATAGGAACCCCAAAGACTTCCGCAGCGCGACGAGAAATGACATTGTGGCCAATTATTCTGCTACTATTCAGTTCGTCGATGTCGAAGTGACCAAAGTTGAAAAGGAGAGTGACTCCCACTTCAGGGTCCGAGATGGCCAAGGAAAGGACTGGAACTTTCGTAAAGTGATACTTGCCGTCGGGTCGTCTGATACTTACCCCAACATCGAAGGCTATGCACAGTTATGGGCCAAGCGAATGTGAGCAAGGTTTTATGACCGTTAGATATCGATTGCTTGCTAACAGTAGGCCTCTTAGCTTTCATTGCCTATTCTGCCATGGCTATGAAGATCGCGGTGCATCATCATCCGGTGTGCTCGCTGTTTCTCCCATTTTGGTTGCCGCTATGGCGGTCCATATGGCGGAAAACGCGGCTCAACTTAGTGACAGCGTCACCCTGTATACACATGGCAACGATGAAATGGCAACTCATCTCAACACCATTGCTAATTCCAAGTTCAAAGTGGAGCCTCGCCAAATCAAACGTCTCCGAGATAACGCCCAAGCCAATTCAGTTATTGTAGAATTCGTGGACGGATCTAGCAAAGAAGAGAAGTTCTTGGTTCATAACCCTCAGACTAGTGTTCAGGGCCCCTTTGTCAGCCAGCTTGGGGTTGCCCTTACACCCATGGGTGATATCCAGGCAGACGCACCAGTGCACCAGTCTAGCGTTCGTGGTGTTTTCGCCGCCGGCGATTGCATTACACCATATAAGGTGACACCAGGCGCCATTTCGAGCGGTTGTAACGCAGCGGTGGCAGCTAGCACTCAGTTGCAGGCCGAGAAGTACGGTCAGCCACCCATGTTTTGAATACATTTAGATGGATAATTCCTTATGTATGTACGTATTAAGTTCGTTGCTTGACTTCGAACCCGAGTGGTGAACACCAATCATTCCTTACAGAAAGCCCTCTAATGTGGCACTTGGTACCTAAGTCAGATGCTAGCTACACAAAAATAGAAAACTACCAATTACAGGTTCAGATATGTCTAGATTGCTGATACTCATGAATGTGAATTATGAAATTAATGGTAAAAGATTGTAGCACTAATATATCTACACGGATTATCACCCCGAATGATTGGATACTAGAAAGTCTAAAATAGAGAAGGGTATCACGTAAAGTCGCCTAATAGACCCTTGGTTCATGTTTTCTTATTTCTGCAAGTCAACAGAGAGCAAAATACCAGAGCTTGGAATTTGGCTTAAAGTGCATTCTACTTCAAATATTAGGGTGAAAGGCTCCGGGAGTAAGATACATACAGACTTAAGCAGGCTAGCAGGATTACGTGAATTACCAGTAAGAATGCCTCTCGACGTTGGTCAACTGCCTTTCTTCTTACATGCGTCGATATGTTACAAACACTTTTTTAGGAATACATTGCAGATATTAATGTAAGTTTGTCGGGAAACACGGCAGCAACAAAGATAACATATCGTATATTATGCGCCAATATTGCGAAGTTACAGAAAAAGCAAGAGAAAAAGAGAAGGTTACACATGTAGATAGTCATTATGGTGTGTTACACTAGTTAATATACTTTAATGCATATAATATTAACTCCAACTTCAGGAGATCCTGTAATTAATGCTACTAAGGTAGGTAGGTACCTTAGGTATGTACACTCCAATCAATTGTACGCGGATAAGTCAGTACCTAGTAAAATAGGAATTCTTAAGAGCATCCAACAATAAGAAATAAACGTATATAAAGGACATCATTGTTATCAAGTTACTACTCTCTCTCCTTCTTCCTCTTATCAAGTAAACAAGAAATCTATCATTACACTCCAAGACCCTTCTCTCAACTCCATCTTCAGAACAGCATATTACATTCAAGGTGCCTTCCCCCAGCCATAGATGATATATCCGAGTAGTGACTAATATGAAACTTAGCTACAATGCGCCTTATCTCCATCGTCACATTTTCCATCGCAGCTATGATGGCAGCTGCAGCCCCGAACCCTAATGCTGAGCCCAATGCTCTTCCTAAAGCGGCACCCGAGCCTGATATTATCGAACCAAAGGCTTGCTGTCTATGAGTCCTACCAACAGCACAGTGCTGGAAGAGTGTCCTTTGGAAGGACTGCTTGTATGGTTGATAGTATAAAAGAAAGGAGGGATAAATTCAGAGTAACGCCAATTGAGAAATATAACATTGCTTGGATTGTCCACAAGCAAATGCTACCTATCTGCAGTTCTACATCTAGATCTGAGTTTTGAGTGCATACATACCTAAGTACTATTGAGGGGCTGGCTACGTAATTCCAGTAATAGCTCTAAATTAAGAAACATTCATAGTTATACTTAGGTAGGTGCCTATTTGGTGTCTTAGTTTACGTAGAAGCAAGGCGCTTAGAAAATACACGCACGTAAGGATTATTTAGCACATATTGTTAAATAGTATAAGATCAGCAGTAATTAAAGCTTGCTCCTAGGAGTGAAGCATGTCGCTGTGATTCCCCCTTTGCCACATTATGCTGTAAGAGTTCGTGATGCTCCAACAGCGGTCGGAACTCCCAACGATAATCTTTACGCTATCTGATAAAATCGTCAAGGGGCTCTATGATAAGGCAATATGATCTACCGGGTCTGCCAACAGAGCCTCAAGTGCGGGGGTTGATCGTGGGAACGTAGCGGTCGTTCACCGGTTCAGACTCACCGAGTCTTGGATACCCCACTGCGCCATGCCGGTGGGGGAGTGAGGATTTGGTGGCGGTTCTAGGGTCTCCAACCAGAAGGCTACTCTCGTAATTATATTGTATATATCTCTCCAGCTACATGGATTGTATCTCTAACGGGTAGGCTCGTGTGCATAAGCAATGTTCGATATAAAAGGCGGGAGTGATTTGTCTATGCATGTGCACCGATGGGGTTGAAGGCGCGGTTGAGCATGTTATTAGATTACTTCGGCTAGGCTGTCATGCCAATCTATCACCTCGTGTACTACCAGCTTAGGTTTCTTATTTCCTTATATATGCCTGATCGGGGCTGCATCGGGGACCAAACGGAATGGGTACGACCGGGTTGTGACCTTATAACAATTCGACATACGTCAATGCTCTGCTATGTACCTTTTCTATGAACAACTAACAATCACGTGATAAAGCCTGCTATGTAGCTAATATAGACACTATTATACAGAGACTTATACCGATCCTAATACACTGTAGTCATATCTATCCGGGTCCTCTTACAACAGTTCCTAGGATAGTGCATAAAATTCAAAATACAACTTCGCTCAAAAAAGTACATAAACTGACTGGGATAGTTATAACGTACATGAGTAGCAAATCATGTATTGGTACTAGCACCCCAAATGTAATACAATGAAAGCAGTGTAACGTGAGCTTATACGGATTTGCGAATCCAAAATGTTCAGAGCTTTGCTTGTCGTGGCTTGCCCTGCCACGGTAAGACAGTCTCACCCTCTTTATATACACCACCCTTAGGCCTCCACATGACGCTAACAGGATGAGCTTGAATGTCGTGAACAAGCTTAGTCCAATCTGCGCTTGGCTTATCTTTATGATGGAATACCATAGTTGGATATCCAATGATAATGAAGCCATGCTTGAGGTACAGCGAGGTACTTAAGGAGGAACCCTCGAGGTAGGATTCGACACCTAACTCATCAATCCTTCGGATCCAGTAGTCCATACCACATGCTGTCGCACTTAGGTGGCGGTACTCAGGAATTACCCACAAAGCCTGGCCGTCTGCTCAAAGTGCGCCCAGTGTTAGCCTCATTACTACCTTAAAATGAACTAAAAGATAATATAGAGCCGGACGAATACCACGATGCATGCATACAGATGGAAACATTAACGATGCAGGGGCGGAAAGTGATAAATGAACTCGCATAATAAGCCTTGAACTAGGAGACCACTTACAGACATGCGCTGTCTTCATCATTCTTGGGCGCCAACTCCAGAGCTGCATGTATAACTCTGCTGATAGGTGATAGCGCTCAGAGCCTGCTTCGAAGCCTGGCCCGAGAAGTCGATTACATCCCTGATTAGCCACCTCAGAGTGAGCTCGAAATGGGTTTTCTTGATATTCCGTCCATCCACCGCCCCCAATAATCGGACATAGTCCCCGGCTCACTCGACTTGGATCTTCGATCTTGACCCAGTGTTGGTTGGGATTGGCCAATGCCGCAGCCAGGTATGCTTGTTTGGTAGCAGCGAAGGCTTCCGCCTCCTGCGGGCCACCAACACCTATACCCGAGAAAGTCAACTGACCAACGGCTTGAAGGGGTTCCTTCCATGAATCCCAGTACGTTGTAAACAAGTCATCCCAGTCCTTATCATAATCGACGGGTGAGACCACAAAGTTTGGAGGTGAAGTCATTGCGGCGAAGTAATAATGAACCGAGACTATCTTACTTGCAATGTAAGGAAGTAGAATAATGAGGATGTGTAGACGATCGTGCGTTGATGGTACCCCATGATGAAAGGGGTGACTTTTATATGTACGAACTTACCAAGCGGCGTGCCAAGAGCAATGGTCAAGTATATGGTGTCCCCACCCACCCCCCTTTCTTAAGTGCCAATATACAAGGCAACTTCACACACTGAGTTTATAGGTTAGGTACATATCACATTAATCACCTTATAGAACATTCACTCTTGACAGTTAACAGTTATGCGTGATGCTATCTCTATATAATTATGAAATAACAAATTTCCGAAGTTTCACGGCAACGAAGTCCTTAACAATACATAGCGAATGCTCAGACTCTCAATTAGACAGTATAGTCCACCTGGTATACTTGCGATGGTTTATTCTGTGCTCCGGATAAGTCCACCCTTTGAGTATTGGAAATACTATCGCCGTACAAGCTGTCTTGACTAAGTTCGCTGCGCTTCTTGGGTTTGGAGCTAATTCCCCAAAGCCTCCAAGACGATGTAAAACTAGTAACACTACCTAAGCGATGGAAAAGTTTTTGCATACCCGCCGTTCTGCTTAGGGAACTTAACGTTGGAAGACAGGCAACCATAGAAGCTAAGGAGACCTCGAGCATGCTCCACCAAAGCATAGTCGTCGCTGTCCCTTTTTAACTGGTCAGTACCTCCGTGAAGTATTACTCAAATGTTATCTCAGCAATAAAAAAAAATAACTTACGATTTATATCATATCCAGCACTGTATCCCTGATAAAGGACTGTCAGATATATTGCCATCCGAGCTGCTGATGCAGCCAAGGACATCAATCCAATGAGGAATATGCCCGTGAGAGCAAGCTTTCGTTTGATAGACATGCTGAGTCTCCAAATCTGCATATTGTAAGAATAGGATACTTGAGTACATTACTGGCGAGGTATGCCCTTACTGCTGGAAGTGGAAGTGTGATAATTAGAAGGTCCAGAATGAAGTCCGATATAACCATTGCTTCCTCTGGTGTGACAGCATCACAGCCCGCTTCCTCTAATACTTGAAGGGGAGCCCAATGAAGCCAGACGTCCTTTCCACATCCGAAAACAAGACCTATCAGGAACCCAACAGACCATAAAGTCACCAGGAATATACCGACTTTTGACGCCCAATCAAAAGTTGACCCCTTGTGTCCAACGAATATACGCCGACAGAAGAAAATAATGCTAGCTTTCACGAACCCGTAGGCAAAGCACATGAGGAATTGAAATGCGAATTGTATCTGTGTCTAATTAGTTTATGCTATTGATATTGTGTTCTTGACGCACCTTTGCCTGGAGAATGTAGGCATCAAGAAATAGTCCATATGCCTCCGAAGCTACGGTACCAGCAGGGACAGGCGTGGGATATCCCATTACGCCGAGTCGTTCTCCGGCGATCAAACAGGCACCCATTCCGGCAATAAAGATTATTCCAATAGCAATAAGCCAGTCGTCAATCCCCAATGAAGCCTTCTGGAGCTTGCGAGTATTGAAGCGTACGCCTACTAATGCGATACATATTATGGGCAGCACAATACCAGCTGACAGGACTTCCGCTGGGGAAACAAAATCAAAAGGGAGTTGTAACCATTGAGTAGATGCCATGGCCAATAGAAAGCCTGAAGAAATTTGATTCTTGAAAATAAACAAGGCAAACAATACGAGACTTACCTAAACAGCTGATTTAATTCCTAGGATGATAATTTATATTTCAAACCTCCTTATACACGTTATACCGCCCACATAGTACACAAGTAGAGCAACATACATGTTATCTAATAATCCAGATTCATTCCAACTTCCGTGCTGATGACAAGATCCTTTATTTAGCATCATCCGAGCCTCGCCAGAGCGAAGTACACCAAAAGTAGAGAATTTGCACTTCCACGAGCAGCGTCTAGCTTTTGGGTATGACATGCCAAGACTGTGAGGCTGCATGACATGCATACCTAAGAGCTTACTAAAAGCTTACATGTAGTTGTGGAGGTAGCTACTTTTATACGATAGAGTTACACTACGGCCTTCATGTAGGTGATTTGTCTGATCGATACTTTACATGGATGCGTATAGCTAATAGCATTTCGCAGAGCCATCTTTCTGCAGAAGCCCCCATATGTGGTTGGTTACCTACCTACCTATGCATTGAAACATGTATTGATTTGGCGGCAAGGATATTTTAATCGCGCGCGGCTCCTCTAGGATGGTTAGTTATGTCGTGCATTGTCACATTTATGCGCGGCATGATCTCCGCATCATTCACCGAAGCCTTGCAATAAACTTATACCTATCAGAGAAAATACCTCGATATTGTAGTTTCAATTTGTGTAACCCAACAACTCCTAAAAGGGCATTTTACATTTCAGCTCTTGCAAAGCTAGATCCCGAGTTCCGAGCGTTGGAACTTGTCCACCCTTTGCTCCTTATTGCTCAATCTTACTGGCTCATTTTGTAATTGTGATATTGATAGAAATAGCGATGGTCGTGAGAAAAGCCAACCTCTGGTATACTAAGTACAGAGACAGACCACCGCGATCCCTAGGTATCCAAACTAGGTTTTCCATTTCGTCTCATATGTAGACCAACTTGCAATTCTCACTGCCGTAACTATGGGATCTGAAAGAAAATACGAGGAATATCATCTCCTCGCTCCGGAAGAAGGAGCAGTAAATGAGCTTTTGCCTCAAACCCATGGAAACCTCTCTAGCTACTGGTTATCGCTCAGACCTCTTCTTCCTTGGCGAACTTTCTTCGCTATTCTAGCAGTTTTATTATTATTGATCGTTAGCTTCACTCTTGGATATGAGATTCGGACTATTATGGGTACGACGGGTATCTCACCGTATCGTGAGTGTAGAAGGATGAGGTGTGAATATAAGCTTTGCAAAAGCTGATCCCATCGCTAGTGAATCTTGGCCATACACAGGCTGATACTCTTTGGTGGAATACGGAGTATAGCAGCGAAAATGCGACAGACACTAGACTCAACGAACTTTGGGATACCCATATCCCCTGGGAAAGTGGTATCATTGCGCTCACTAACGAGGAAGCACGTGCAATGGATCTTCCAGAGTCCCAGCCTTTTCCTTGGGATGCTAGCCGGAAAAGGATTTATATCGTCAATGCCCACCATATCCTCCATTGTGTAGTAAGATCCTCCAAGAGAATCCATCAACATATTTCTGTTCAAAGCTAATGACCATTTACTATTTTAGAGAAATATTTACATTTCGATCCAACAATACCGCACAAACACACCGCAGACAATTAACTATCCCCACATACTTCATTGTCTAGATAGTCTTCGCGTGGAAACCATTTGCAGTGCGGACGACACGCTCCGCTACGTGCCCCTTAACTCGGCCCACGGTTTTCGACCAGGCGACGGCCAGTTGCGCAAGTGTCGCAACTGGAGTCAAGTGCAAGAGTTTGTTGAAGCTCATGACCCTTGCTATCGCTATCTTAAGCCAGGAGATTCCAAATTATCGAATCTAGAGCGATTCAAGTTCTGCCCGCCAGACTCAGAGTACATACCCAAAATTCGAAAATACTTCGGTTACGGGGATGACTGGACACCTCAGCCGCAAGAGGGCCCAAGAGAGCTTGAGTGGTGATCGAAAGTGTTGGGACCATGGGTCCGTGACAACAGTCACATGACTGTTGTTTTGTAACCGAAGGCTGGACCTACCCACACACACAACCCACAAATGTACCTAGGTACCTAATAGATAGACATCTGTCATGAATGTTATGATTGATGTTGTATTGTATACTTTCTAATGTGGGGTGCTATGATACACGAGGTATTTATACTTCCACATGTCATGTGACCATGACAACATTTCTCCCCACTTCGTAGATCTCCCGTTCTTTCAACTTAAATCAAAATTCATCGTTTTTATTTTTCCTTATGTAATACAAGGTATATACACGGCTTTTTTGTTACTTTAATTAAAAGAGAAAAACTTATTAACCGTTAGGTTTTTATAATTTTTTTTATAATTTTAAGTTTATTTAAAAGTATATCGGCTATTTAATTTAGTTTTTAATGTTTCCTTTTTAAACGATAAAATTTTAACGAAATTAAATTTAATTACTTGTTTATAACTATTAAAGTAAAACATTATAAATGACTTTATAGCTTAATGGCCGATAATACCATTTACTTGTATGTTGTCCTAACTAACGGCTCGGGAATTTTGGTAAATAAATACCTAGGTAGTCATAATGATTTACTTCAGGCTACAAAAAAAGCTGCTTACAACTTCGGCATCGTTACTAGCTTTAAACTTAAGATTTATCAAAAAACTTAACACTATCACAACTATTTCAAGGCGTAAAATAAGCTCAAGACGGTATTCTAAGCGCTAAACAAGATCTAAAACCATGGTAAAACCTTCATAGTAGTGGGATCGAGCTATAAGCAAATCTAGATAGATCAATCTTTGAGCAAAACTGCGGTATGTGATATCCCCTAACCCTTAACCCTTGAATTTTATTTCTAACTGGCTATCTTCTGGTAAAGTTTCGCCTACGCCGGCACTACTTTTAGGGCTGAGGATATCATGCGCCCGTTTAACTAAATCGAGGCTATCTTAGAAAAAAGGGGTGATGTCTTCTATTTTAAGATAATTACTCCTCAAAACACCAACACCGCATCTTGGAGGTCTACCACCTACGCTATTACCACAGTTTTGCCCCAAACCTATAATATCACAGCGCAGTGCCAGATCTACGAAATTTTAAGCAGAAACGCGGCTTCGTATCCGGAGCTTGCGGAAACTTCTCGCCTTTACTACAGAAGCTATGCGGCAAGTAACTAGTATGAGTTGATAGATTACATATATAGATACGAATTGTGGCGCCTCAAAAGATTGCGTGGGCTGAAGAATAATTATGATCTTAATAACCGCTTTCGCTTCGACGTCCCCAATGTCTCCAAGATGAAAACCCCGAATGAATACCTGGTTAAGGGCCTATAATTTTGAAATTTTATTCTTGTCACGTAGTTGTCTGGCTCCGCCAGACAATCTACGTGACTTAGTCCTGAGTTAGGCATCTTGGATCCTTATGTATATATAGCCTTGCAGCTCGCTGCAAGGCTCTTGATGTTCTGGGTTCCCCAGAACATCATCGTTTTCCTTTATGACCTTTTGGTCTCATGATAATTCTCTTTACTTAGTTAGGACGTTATAATGAAGTAGTTAGAATTGATTAGGTAGACATCGTAATAAAAGTTCAAACAAAACGTAACTAAGTATTTACCAGCTAGCTACAGGATAAGAGTCTATCTAAAGCACTTCAGTGCTATTTAATTCATGTAAAGGAAGGCATTAAGATTCATTTCAATGGACTGTATCCTTGGGTTTTTTATTAGTTAGCTACCCATCACTTTATAAGCGGTATAGTGTACTAAGGGTGATTTCTGATATTGACTATTTTCTTCTTACACTTTCTAGACCTATATTGAGTTAGAAGAATTTTGGAAATAATAGGTGCCAATATTGGATGTTAAATTCTAATAGCTAGAGTATTAAATGCTTTGCGTTGCTTGTCAATGACTAGTATCAGAAGTCAATATTTTCATAAAGGTAAGACTTTTCACGCTGACAACTGTCGTAACTGTGTTAGTATCTGACTAACAAATTAACACCTAGCTATAGTACAAAGCTTATTGAGATATGCACAAAGTCAAAAGACTTGACGCGACATATAAACCAACAGGTACGAAATAGGGGATATTGAGGAATATATTTGACACGGCTTACATGGAAGGTAGAGAATGACTTTCAATAAATCCGATGACAAGTCGTAAGTAGAGTATTGATAATGGCCAAATATCAGTAATCCGCGACTACTAACAACTCCATAGTACTAAGAGATAGAAAACCATCTTAAATAAATCAGAGCCATTGCTTATTACCATATTGCGAAAGGAAAGCACCACTATCTCCATTTTCGAGGCTGGCGTTATCCCAAACAGATCTCACCATTTTAACAGAGACTTCTGGTGATATCGGACCAGTGAAATTAGGTGCGTACTCGGCGAACTTCCCGAGACCCCCACCCAACTTCTGTAGTTGATCCGGGGTCGCTGTGGAAAAAAAAGGGGGAAATATGTTAGATGTCTCCTATTGCGATGATCAAGCAGGATTGGGGTAACTCTTACAGTTTGTGTAGTGGCCCACTTCTACCATTCCTGGGGTGATACTTAGGAAAAGGACGCCGTCTTTCTTATACTGGGCGCTGAACTTAGCTACTGCCATATTCGACGCTGCCTTGCTAATGGAGTAGAGCGGGCTGAGGTCCAGGTCGAATCTGGTGGTCAAATCCAGATCGGCGAAGCCGCTCGAGATAACTATAACCTTCTTGGCCTTCCCTTTAAGGACAAGCGGCATGAATAAGTTGATGAGGTGAATATTTCCCACGACATGGATATTGATAAGTTTTCCTAAGTCGTCCTCGAGCCCTTTGGGATCATAACCCCTTTTCATTTTTGCCATATTAGTCATGGATCTATTTCAAATAGTAGAGAAAACTTACAATACTCCGAGTGGATCATAGGAATCAAAATGCGAGATGTAACCCGCGTTTCCGATTAAGTAGTCGAGGCTCCCACCTGTTATTTTGGCAGTCTCGGCTGCAGCTCTCTACCAAAATCTGTTAATACTTTACCGAAGTTGATGGCTACGTCATGTTTGATTCTCACCTTCAGGGCATCGTGATCGGTTACGTCGGCTTCTAAGATGTGTATATTGGAACGTCCCTTCAAGATTGTATCCTCAGATATCTTCTTCTCTACGGAAAGCTTGTCTCGGACTATTCCGATAACAGTATTGTTCGGATCTTGCGATAGCTGACGAATAAACTCGTACTATTAGGGGTAATTGGTTATCAAGTTTTGCTCGCCATTTGCTACGAATTTAAACTTACACCAATCCCCTTGGAAACACCGGTAATGACGTAGGAAGACATTTTGATAGAGTGGTATAAAAGAGGTACTCAGTGAAGTTTGTGATAAGGTGTCTGTGGAAATGAATTCGATCTGGTGAATTGGATCTATGTTGGAACTATAGCAAAATAAAATGTTGCCTTATATCTACTCGTAAAGGTATTAAATTAAGACTTGAACTCCTTTATATGTAATTTATAAGCGTATTACATACACTTACCTAATACTTGCCCAAATTTGAAATATAGACTAGACCTGCATAAACCAGAATATTTACCTTAACCTAAAGCGATTTAGGTCTTACATAATCCGTACAGGTCACTTACATGTAGGATCTTCAATGCTATTAGTGGAGGCGTTACTTGAAGCAGCGAATAAGTATTTAAGTGCTTATTTTGGCTATTAGCAACAAAACGTGAAGCTAGAACATCTTACGTGTGCTTATGGGCTGAAAACATAATTTAAAGGCTTGCATCGTCGGTTGATCAAATTAGGTACCAAGGTTCGAAGGCACTGAATATTAGATCGGTCTCTTGGTAATTCTTGGATTTTTATTCAACTTCTTTTTACGCCTATATTAGGCTGTTAAGGATAAAGATAAAAACACCATGAACAGTTCCGATCCATCCAAGACCCCCTTAGGAGTCGCTCCTCCAGGCTATGAGTATAACTTCGATGATAGCCCATCCCAAGCTTGGATGCCTCGACTTGCTATTTATACAACACTTCCAGTATCAATATGTTTTATAGTCCTACGAATCTATGCTCGTTTGAGGTTAAAACATAAGTTAGGTCTAGATGATTGTTAGTAATCAGTTATTTCTTGTTTCTCCTTACCACTGCTGACTTAGGTACTTACATCTAGATTTTTGTGTAGCTTCTGGCGTAATAACCGATGCTCTTGGTTTACACTTGATTAATGAATGTCGCTGATCATCTTTGCTAGTTCGCTAGTGCCGGTTTCTGTGGGGTGATGCTTGCGCAGGGTAATGTACCAACTACTTCATGATCAGTTCTTCTCACCTAATATTTCAACTAGTCGTTGACGATATGTATGGGCGTCACTCTTGGAATATACCACTTTCTGCGTTTACTCCAACATATATGAAGGTATGTTACTATTCATTATACTACGACGTCGGTCTTTGGAAGTAAAAAAACTCACATTCAACAGGAGAGTTGCGCTATCACAGTCACCTCTTGTTTGGCATCTTCTCTAGTCAAAATATCTCTTCTCGCTTTCTTCCGGCGGATATTCTCTCCCTTACGTCTTTCTAATATCTTGATATGGTTTGGTATTGTCTTTACTGCCGTATCCCACGCTACTCTTTTCACCGTCTATATCGTGTATAGCGTACCGCACAAAGATGATGCCGGGTGGGATGATCTATCATTTGCCTATAGGAGTACTGAGCAAGCTCCAATAATTGGTCTTAGCCTCGGCGCTGTGGGCACCTTTACTGACTTCTATATCATTTCTATTCCCTTAACTACAATATTTGGCCTAAGGATGTCATTGAGTAAAAAGATCGGCATTTCAGCTCTCTTTGCAACAGGTTTATTGTACGTCTAGAACCTCTCTATGATATAGACCTAATCTGGTTGGACGTATTGATTAGTTTTCTTAGGGCCTGTACCTTTTCCGCTGTTGGTTTGGCATTTCGTGTCAGTTCATACCATGAAACCATTCATCATGCTCCTGATCCTTTCTGGGCAGCTATGCCAGCTTATGCATTAGCGTATGTACATACTTAAATAAGTATTTTCTTTGACCTTATATTTCTAACCGCGGTTAATTAGAGTTTCTGAGATCAACTTGGGCATCATATGTGCTTGTGTGCCTATTATTTATCCTCTCTGCAAGACATTTGTCGAAAAGCTTGACTCTGTGGGACCGTATTGGAGAAAACATCTTTATAGAAAGCCTGTATCTTCAGACCAGTTGGATCGCTCCGAAAGTGATGTCTCGGTAATTAAATGGAGATGGTCAAATGTACCCAACGGGTACCTCAAAACTCTCATGTCATATGTCAGGGGCCCACGAGGCAGGCATGAAAAGCGATCACAAGCAGATATGACTCAAGATCTCAGTATCGAAATGGGCCCTTACACTAACTTGCGGTCTATCGATATGGACTATCATGGATACCTGGTCAATAGTCTGCCAATCTCTGAACCGAGCATCAATACAAGCGGACGGAAGAGTTGAAGCAACGATATTGTGCCTAGGCATATTAGGGACATAATTCTTCGGATTATGTATCGGGCATCCAATTTAAATCAATTAGGTATCTTCCTAAGGTAAGAACAGTTTATAATGGGTTAGATACATGTATGTACGTTAAGAAGTAGGTACCTGATATTTATTAACGAATTGTTATTTCACTGCCTCTCCACTAGTCGAGCTAATATGAGATGATATCCATTTTATATGTAAAAGAGATGGACTTAGATTCTTATTACACTCTGTGATACACTTCGATCTTTGGCACCGTTAGATGACTGATCGTACAATAACCACTTGACATGTTTTCAGTGTCGACCTTCATCCTCAATCAAGCTACTGTGACCAACTTCGGTTTCGGTATGACTATTCAGAGTCTTAGAATTCTGAGCCCAAAGGTTTTCCTGTGAGAGGTCCAAGCTCATTCGGTCTAAAACAGGATGAGGCAAGACGCTCATCTCGAGGTAAGAACTCGCACCCTCCATTGCCAAGCATGTGGTAAGCAGTGAGTCATGGACCGCCTTTACCTTTTCTTGGAGCCATGACGGCCTCGAATGACTTGTGTTCTTCTGAAGCATTTGCCTTTCTTGCAAAGCTTTGGCGCTGCGCTCCCGATCTCTATGTGCGAAGAGACTCCTGAAAGAGACAACACAGGAAGCAATAAAGGCTAATGCAGTATTAGTTGCTTCTTGATGCAACGTTGGATATCTAGGGCAATTATTCAAACTCACAAACAATACATTCGACTGATAGCCAAAACCAAATCCAAGTGATGTTCATCGACTGCATATCGTTGTAGTCAATAGACTTATAGACACCACCGAATATGCTTCCGCGTATAATGGAAACAGCTATAGTGAAAGCAACGACTGAGAATATCGCTGACAATATGAGCTTTTTGCGAAAGCTGACGCGAATCTTCCATAGAACGCTAATTGGAAAGCACATAACTATATGAAGGTTAGCGATTAGCTTCGTGGGCGGAAGAACAACTAACTAAGTATATCTGAGAAGACATCCACGACACATGAAACGATAGCGGCAGTATACTCTAGCCTAAATGCCGATGCTGTGTAGCAATAACCAAAGAAGACACGTTCATTTGAGCCGACGAGACAATCATATCTCACGAGACCGAGAGTCACGACGCCACAAGCTGCCGTGGTCACAGTGACTATCCACCAGAAAATCTTGAAACCGTGTACATTGTGAATTAGACGGTAGAAAAATAGGAGAAAGTTGAATTTGACGGTCCAAAGGCATACGGTCCCAAATACAATTTGTAGTAGCGTTCCATACAGTGCCCTGCGTGTGTCTTCTATATAGTTGGGGCCCGGCATCATAACACGGTTGGCGATTGCCATTAGATCGTAGACATCGTCGATGTAAAGTTGACATATAACCGAGGAGGCGAGGATCAAGGCCAAGGAAGTGAAGGTAAGATAATCTTCAAGGACCAATTTTCTGAAGCAGACAAATCGAATATAGGCGCGAGCACTGAATGATATAGCGCATAAAACAAGCCCGCCCCAGATAATCCCCTTGAGAAGTTAGCACGCCGATACGTAGCATGGATTAAAATTCTCACTTTGAAGGCATCCGACGATAGTAGCTCGTCAGTAGAGTGAACCATGTGCTCAGTATCGTTGCTATTGAAACTCATGGCGTCGGCTATATGGAGAGCAACGGAATGGTGGATTTTTGTAAGGCTGATCGTTTGAGTGACTATATTTCGTAATAGCAATTTCAGAATAGACAGGTAGATACCTCTTTGTAAAAGCTGAATGACATTATGCAAATGCATACCAAGCCTATGTCTTTAAAAGTATAACTCTAAAGCATTATGTCGTGCAACTATACTAAATGTCCTGGCAGCTTATGATAGAATAGTAAAGCCCTTACATCGGCTAGGGTATTCTATCGCAAATCCTGAGAAGATAACAGGTATCACTGCAGAGGATAAACAGTAATTCATCCAATATGTATAATCATGATCTCCAATAGCAAAGTTGATAGCGTATCTTTTGGTTTCACCTCATAATAAATGTATAACTTCCAGTATTGCACTTGGTGTTACTTACCAACAACTGGGCATAGGAGTACATGTACATACTTAAGTCTACAAGTCCCAAAAAGGTACCTAGCATATGTCAACACGACATTCATACCCCGGTGAAGGATAATAGATCAGGTACATGTAGGTCCCTCCCTACTTCCAGGAAGCCCCCAACGCGGTAATGCTTGGCTACATACATGTAAATATACTGCACGTACCAGTTAATCAGCTGAAATGGCTTAGACTAGGTAGCATAGCCTTAAATACCTTGCTGCTAAATAGACAAAGGCGACTGAACAAACCGATGTTCATCATCCCCCACAATATTATCAACTCAAAATTTACTAATACTCATCAAGATGACCTATCTCATGTCTTAGATTTCCCTTGACGCCTTAACACTTAAAGATGTGGAGAAACCCTCTCCGGTCTCTCACTGCGCAGCTCAGGCCCATTAAAACCCCTGATGCAGATCTTACTGGAAAGGTCGTCATTATAACTGGCGCCAACTCTGGTCTAGGGCTTGAGGCGGCCCGGCTGTTTGTGCGGTTTAATGCTAAGACCGTAATTCTCGGTTGTCGAGATATCCAAAGCGGCGAGCATGCAAAGCGCGATATCGAGGTCTCAGAGAATAAACCTGGAGATGTCGTTCAAGTGTGGAAAATCGACTTAGCATCATACAATAGCGTGACGGAGTTTTGCCGCCGAGTAACCACGGAGCTCAGTCGCCTGGACATCGTCGTTGCAAATGCCGGCCTCATAGCGTCGCGTTACGAAGCCTTTGAGGGTTATGAACGCCAACTAACAGTCCATGTCATCTCAACGTTTCTAATGGTCCTTCTACTCTTGCCAATGATGAGGCGGACGAAGGCCATGGATAGTCAGCAACACACGCCTATATCGTTACCACGGAGGTTAGCTACTACTGATGTACCACATATCGTTATTGTAGGCTCGAACTCTCATTTCTATACCCAATTCCCAGAGCGAAAGGAACCATCTATTTTCGAAGCCCTCAGGGGTGACTCGAATATGGGTGATCGCTATGGCACAACAAAGCTCCTCTCGGTGCTTATCGTAAGAGAATTAGCCGAGCACATGGTTCTTGACAAAGAGTTAGAGCCCTCGGTCATCCTCAACACACTTGATCCAGGCTATTGCCAAACTCGCCTTTTACGGGAAAATGCATATTCACGCCCTCTTATGTGGATTCTTGCTATAGCCTCTACCTTGGTAGGCAGAACAGCTGAGATGGGGGCCCGCACGTACGTACTGGCAGCTTCTGCAGGGCGGGAAAGCCACGGAAGATACATGGAAGATGGTGAAATTAGTAGGGAGAGCGGCTTTGTGTATAGCCAAGAGGGGCAGGTGGTGCAAAAAAGGGCTTACATCGAGTTACGGGAGATACTGGAGAGAATTCAACCTGGTATATCGAATCATATCCAAGGCTAGATTTCAATTTATCTAATATATGAGATCTGGTAAAGCTTTCCTCATTACGTGGTGATTAAAACCCCTGGACGTCCGCGCTGGATCATGCCCTTAGCATAACATAGGAGTAGTAGGGATGCTTCCGATTTCATTTTTTCGTAATGTTTGCTACTAAGCCCCAGATCTGATACCAATCAGGTGAAGTAATGCCATAGGTAAACGTGGAGGGTCTCATCTTTGTACGATATTCTTTAGCTTTGCCCCTGACATACCTTATCTCAGCGCCATAACTTCAATACTATGTAGATATAAACGCCACACAAACCAACACACACAGATACGGAGATATTACTATAGCTACCTCACAACCCCACATAGCACAACTGCGCATCCTGCGGCGCGAGGATCTAAGACTCGGGCACTCTCAGCGATATCCCTTTTAAGGTAGTGAACCTCGAGTAGAGATGTTTGCCGCCTAAATTTGCTTCAGATATCTCCGTTCTAACCTAGAAAGGGCGGGATACTTGAAGTGACTTTCCGCATCATCGTCGTACGGCATGATACCTCTTCGTTTGAGTACTTAACTTACCTCTACTTTAAAGGTACCTCTTAATTAATTACACTTGGCATTAGTTACACCACAGATATAACCCATTACTAGGTAGATTAAGATAGCAATCCACTAACTCCTTCGACGCATGCACCCATACGGGCCGGGTCACTAAACTTGTTCTGATTACACCAACATGTAACGCCACAGTTGGTTAACCGGTCTGGGGTTGGTCTTTGGATTTTAACTTACTTTCGTATATGTATCTCTTATGCTTGGCTGTATATCGTGAATAAACCTTTGTGTTTCTCGTACCCAAATACTCATTGCCGAGTCAATTGTCTGTTAGTTTCTTCATATATTCTGCCATTCACGTACTCCAGGGCGCCCTGATATCTTCCTTTTCTATTAATTAATCTTGCCGCCTTGAAATGATGTTTCTTACGCTCAATAAGCTCGGCCACTGGGCAGAATGTGTATACTTCGTGCTGAAAATTACGGGATACGAGCTTCAAATAGTATATTTACTCTTCTATTAATCGTATAAACGAAAAAGGAAGGTCCTTATACAGATTTCCAAAAAGAAGACTTAACGAGTTGTACCTGAAAGTAGTATCTTGGCTACTCGCTGGGACACTTCTCTGCATTTACTATTACGTGGTGAGGCCAAGAATCCTGACAGAGCATATCATTCGCCTATCAAATATTTCTTGGTTATGACGAGTTTCCTCATCCCTTGTTAGGGTTATTTGCCTGATCTGGTCGGTCCCTAGCACCCCCTTAGCACTCCTCTGGGAACTCCCTTACTCTTTCTCGTCTCTCCCTTCCTATCCAATAACAGCACAATTTTGGCTTCCTAGTTTAAATGTCCTGATTGAGAACAAGTAGCCAAATAAGTACCTAAGGTAGTCATTGACGCAAGACACAGCCCATCCTATACAATGCCGAGTTACTCACCGCAATCGCATGGCTTGGTTCCTAGTGCTACTAAGAATCTACCTTCTAATGATAGAGACTATATTTACCAGCACTTGAATGAGCCTATTGTAGAACTTCTGGGCTGCTCATTCCATCGGTATTCCCATATTATTCCTATCAGCCCCCTAAACCCGGGTTGGACCTTAGTAGGCCAGAAGGTCATTTCATTCTTGCGCCGCCTGCCTTTGGTGATAACAGCTTCACCAGGTATAACTAGCGAGCATGGGAGGTCGAGGATTGATATCGATCTCACTCTGAGATGGGTGATATCTGAGTCTTAATAATGCCAGTCGCTATATACCCCTTAATATATGCCATACGTAGAGCAAATGTTAAAAGCAGCAGAAAGGCCGTTGCATAGTAGCCGTGTAGTTGTATAAATCTACTAACATTTAACCTTTTACTTTCTTTCGAGGGCGCGTAGTGCCTTTCTATAGCTACCTACCTATCTTAGATATATACCAAATTCATGCCAGTACCCATTATACCCTGACACATACCATCAATGAAGGCCGGAAGCGGAAAATTAGTTCCTACCCGAAACACTGACATTGACGCTTGAGGATTGTTTATATAAATCCAGTGTTTGAAACATTAACACTAATCAAACTTTAGAAATGTTAGATGTATTCGACCCTAACATACTGACTGCAAGGCCATTCTCGAAACCTTCAACTACAAAGACTTACTAATGAAGATTTCTGCATTACAGACTGAAGGCGAGAAATATAAAATACAGAGAGAGACGGTCACTCATTGTTCCAACGAAGATAACAATGAAGTCGTATAATCAGAAACTATCGGCCTAGCTAACTATATGCTTAGCTATTAGACGTCGAAAGCATCCGTCAAATCAGCAGCTGACGATCTACGCACGCTATCTCTATACGTACTTTCTCGCGCAGGTTTCGGGAAGTCCTTCAAATTCGTAGGCCACGACGAGAGGCAATTCTTTACGAGTCCGTCTAATAGCTACAAGGAGGCCTACTAACGGATAGACGATCTTTCCTACGACGGCCTTATCTTGTAAAAAGCCACATTAGAACTGGTAAGGAGAACGCCATACGCAGCCATATTCTCTTGCAGATCCAAGACGGGATATGCTGCCGCGTTAATATATCGCAACGTATCGTAATCCTCAATATGGGTATGGCTTTGGACGCCCACCATCTATCGACCTACCCCTCGGGTTTATCAGTTGTTGTCCACGTCATGGAAGCGCGAATTGAAATTGCGGTTAATGAATCATGAGAAGCATAGGAGGTAGATAAGACATATCAGCAACTAATATTGCGTGGTCAACAATTATTAGTTTCCATTGCCATTCGTATCTTAACTGCCAACGAATAAGAAATAATTGAGGTTGTATTAATGGTTGGATCTCACCTTTTAATTTCTTGTGACAGTTTGTTTGCATATTCACATCTATAATCTCTCTTTGCTCCTAAGAGGGTTTGAATCAATTAACGCCCACCCCTAAGTCAAGATGGCCGAGATCATAGCAACAAATACGGAGCCTCTCCCCGAATATTACGTCCACAGCTTTCCAGCGCCGGGCCTCAATCAGATCGTTAGGCATATTACTGGAAATAACGCTAATGGTGAATCTCGATTCCTATGTTCAGACCATGGGGAACATTATCGTTTCATGCTGGAGCATCAAGCAGTAGCCAACATCATATATTCTACCCGAGAGACCCCTGTTGATCTGAATGCCAACGCAGATATCATCAAGGCCCATGAACAAGAGGTTTGCCGTTCCTAACCCATACTAGATTAATGGAGTATATCCTATCCATTAACGAATTATCCTAGCCCCCGTTACACTATCCCAACGGCTCAATTGTCCGCATGATTGATTTCGGTCCGGGCGTAGAGTCCCCTTTTCATCGAACACTAACCATTGATTATGGAATCGTTTTGGAGGGGGTCTTCGAACTTACTCTTGATTCGGGCGAGAAACGAATCTTGCGCCAGAGTGATGTGTGCATTCAGCGGGCTACTTCACACAAGTGGAAGAACGTCACCGGCAATGGCACCTTGCCAGGACGCATGCTGTGGGTTCTCCTTGATATTAAGGAGGTTACCATAGATGGCAAGAAGCTTAGGGGTGACCTTGGTGACCTACAAGAAGAATATGCAGGCCATAGCAGTTATTGACATTGGAACTTTATGGTCTTCGTAGATAGTCGTTTGGTCCAAAAGAATACATGTATGGATGGACAATAAAAATATAGCTTCGACCGGCCAAAATGGTCCTTGGAGTAAGTGAGCATGGAATTTGTAATTATGCCGGCTCACTAATACTCACTAATACTAGTATAGGGGTCATATACAAACGGAAAATGGTCTCTGATTGGTTAATCTCGCTTTCAAGGGGGCGGGTAGTTTCTAAGCAATCCTTGCTTATCAATCAAAATATTCATAGCCCAGATATAAGTAATGTTGTTCAAAATGTCGAGGGCTTCTCACCGATGTCATGTGTTATAAAATTTATTTATACATTCCATATCCCAACAAACAATTATAATGCCTCCAATTCGAACTGCAATCATCGGGCTCTCAAGTTCCTCCTTCGGAAACTGGGCCAGTCATGCCCATCTCCCGTACCTACTCAGCCCCGAAGGCCAGAAGAAGTTTCAAATCATTGCATTATGCAACTCGAGCGTAGATGCTGCCAAGCGTGCTATTGATACCTTCAAGCTACCACCTGAGACGCGCGCATATGGTGATCCAGATAGTCTTGCCGCGGATCCAGATGTTCAGCTCGTCGTATGCGCGACACGTGTGGATAAGCATTACGAGACAATTCTTCCAAGCGTACGCCAAGGCAAAGATACATACGTGGAATGGCCCTTGGCTCAGAATGCGTCACTCGCAAGTGACCTAGCAACCCTCGCACGGCAGAAAGGGGGCAAGACCGTCGTAGGACTGCAAGGCTGGCATGCACCAGCAGTTATGAAAATTCGAGAGTTAATAGGGAGTGGTCGCATTGGAAAGGTATTGAGTAGTGAGGTTCGTGCGTCTGGGGGATCAGTGGATAGGCTTTCCTTGCCGACTGGGCTGGAGTACTTTGCGGATAGGAAAGTTGGGGGAAACCCATTTACGATTGGATTTGGTCACTGTGAGTTTGTATAAAATTCTTATTATGCCCCGTACTAATACTCATGTATTATCATAGTATTCGATTTCGTTCAGTTCGTGCTTGGAGATATCCAAGTTCTACACTCCCATTTACAACTCCAACGACCGGACGTGAAAATCTGGGACCGATCAAGCGGAAAAGTCGTAAAAACAGTTCGTTCGGATGTCCCTGACCTAATTCTCGTGATCGGATCGCTACAAGCTTCGGAATACGTTACTTCAGGCGCAACAGTCCATCTAAGATTCCGTCGAGGGCAAGCTTTTAAGGGAGAAGACCCCTTTGTATGGTCAGTAAATGGAGAAAGGGGCGAGATCCGTCTCAGTGCCTCGGGCGGACCAGGAATCTCAGCAGCTTCCCACGGAAAACCGCTAACTATTGAGGTTCACGACTTTGATACGGATAAAGTAGAGAATGTGGAGTGGAATTGGCATGGAAGAGAAGAGCTGGATATATCCGCAAGAATAGTTGGCGCCCTTTATGAAGCATTTGCCGCCGGCGATGCGACGAAGTATCCTACATTCGACCATGCCTCAAAGCGCCATGAACAATTAGATAAGATATTAGCACAGTTCTCGGCCGCGTAAATGGCAGGTAGTCTTATAAGCCAGCCAGTGCCGGTATCGTTAAAGCAGCACCTGTTCATTACATTCCTTCAAAATGGATTCTCCCCTTCAATGTTCCTATACTAAATAATATCCATGACTCGTTATGATACCCCAATAATCGTAATCTATAAGTAGCATCACTCTTAATTAAACTCATCGCCTTAACATGACGTCCTCCAGGAAGCCCAAAGGGGTAGGGATGAATAGCCGCGTCTTCTTTTCTTGTGTACTTGGGGATATATCAACGGAGTTTAGGCATACCTTGAGAAGTCATCAGTAGTATCTGAGATATAGAAGGATGAAGCAGACGAAGTATGAGATAAATGTCGCTAGTGGATATACAGTTAGTGATGGCTCTAATGTAACCCCATAGTCCTTTTGTGCCTTAGAAAGTAGATTGGATATCTCTATTAGAAACTAACTACTAATTAGCTATGGTCTGTATGCTTCAAGCCAAGTAGCCGTTGAATCGATATAGTACTATTTTGGCTTTTTGAGAACGAATCTGCGAGTGTAGAAAGAGACGCGATAAGCCCCCATACCCTTTCCAAGCTTATTGTGTCACACATTGCACTTGCTGTACTTCTGGTTTCTCTCGGCGAAGTTTGGTCAGCACCCTGTTCCACGGCCTATTTCGTTTTCTCTCTGCAGCTTCCTTCTCTGCCCAATACTTCTCTTGCTTTTCTTTCAGCTTCTGGGCACAGATTCCCTTCATCTCCCCTTCCTCCATGATAAATACAGAAGTGTTTCCGCCAAGCCCTATCCATTCCTCGTTCTTGACGACATATGCGTAGCCAGGTTCAATGACCGCCCCTTGTCCATCAATGAATATTACGCCGCGGAGTAGAAATATCAGGCAATCGTGAAGGCATGGAAAATGGATTTTGATGATAAGTACGGTAGGAGGGAGGTGATCGGGCCCGCTGTGGGAGTAATGAATATCACGGGCCGGCTCCGATCTTTGGAACTACGTGCTTGTTAGAAGTTATATTTCGTTTCATTCAAACGTATCCCGCTACGAATCACTAACATACCTCCTCCTTCAGGGCTTCTGTCACTAATCTGCTGTCGTTTTGATCGATAGAACTCCAAAATCCCCTGCCTCTGGGACCTACTATCTTTCGTATAACTGGCATGCTGATAATAGAAGTAGCTAACTACGAACGGTTCGCTACGTTTTTGAAGTTGTTCGTGACAAGTAGGCTCGATTAAGTGACACCTGAGTCAAGATCAGGCTGTGTAACGACCTGGCAGCGGGGTCATGGTGTCGACATGTGATTGGTCATTATTCTTAACATGGGATAAATATCACCTTTAATTCGGATCATTTGCCTTTATAAACAAGTATTGAATATCCTAGATCTCAAAATTCTAGTATCCTTCCATTCATTGCAAAAGTATATACCTGACAAAGTACAGTACCGATAACACCAAGATATAGAACCAAGAGAAGTAAAAAGAAATGGCATATGATATGACCTCTCCACTTTGTGGTTCTTGCAAGGCTGTAACTTTTACGATGCTGCTCTACGGCTTCGTTCACTCTAAACCCTTCGCAGACGCTGTTGTATCTGGTAGGACATGCAAGCTGTGCAGGTTGATGGTGTGTATGTATTCGAAGCTGCAGTTGGAGAGCCCTTGGAGTCCGTATGAAGTTGAAAAGAGGTATGATATGATATCTGACTCCCTTCTTTCTCTACCAGCGGTTAGACGATGGGTAGTTGGAAGAGAAGACCTACCTTACTTTCAGACCCTGGCAAGACCAGTGGAATACTTGTCTTGGAACCGAAGAGAATATATGGATTTCATTCTCGGGCCAAAACTCGTTTTGACATCCGGAAATTTTGGTGGCGGGAGCACAATCCAGGTTAACGCATGTGAAGGTGAATTTCTTCCGTTATGTCTAAAATGTTTCATTTCTAATAGTTCGCTAGATTCCTATTACCATTTATCCGACATGGTTCCTCTGCGAGATGTTACTGCATGCACAGCATCTCGGAACTATACTATGCTGCGCAAGTGGATGAAAAATTGTATGGAAACCCACATAGAATGTCGTCCGTTAGAACAGAACTCAGTTTCCGATCCATCTTGCGAATCTGTTACTTTGCCTACCCGACTAGTCGATGTAGGCTCTCCTGATGGTGAAATATGCCCCTTCTTAGTCGAAACCGAGGGGAAACAAGGTTCATATCTCACACTGAGTCATCGATGGGGAAAACGCCAAAACTACAAAACTACAAAAGACAACATAGAATGCTTCAAGCAGGCTCTCCCACAAGAAACTCTACCACGCACATTCAAAGACGCAATAATGGTAACTCGTCAATTGGGATTTCAATACATCTGGATTGATTCTCTATGTATCATCCAAGATGACAATGAAGACTGGCTTCGTGAATCGGAAAAAATGGGAGACATATTTGCGTCATCAAGCTGTACCCTTGCGGTAGTTCATGCGTTGGATGACGATTCTAACGATCAAGGGCTTTTCCCCCCTCATAACGATGCGCTAGCAGTGAGAATATGCTGCCCTTTCAGTAGGGAGGCCGTTCCTAAAGCCTCTGCTAAAATACGCAATGCAGCCGGACGGGATTTCGTCTGGAAGTACAAGTGGCTCAAGAAAGAACATGGTGAGGACGACGTCAGTAACATCATTCGTCATAACACCATTGTATTGCGGCCTCGGATCGTCAGTCTTCCTTATAAAATGAAGCAGAGTGAATGGTATAATCGTGGATGGGTATTTCAAGAAAGAGTGCTTTCAAGGCGAATCATTTATTATACAGGAGACAAAGTGTACTGGGACTGCTTTCAAGAACAGGGCGATGAACAAGGAGTAGAGATACGTCAAACTTCAAGAAATGCATTGATTTCTCCGAAGAATATAACAGCACACACTGCCCAGTCCTTTGCGGAGATGTTGGCTATGGAATACTCCACTTGCCAGCTTACCAAGCGGAAGGATAATCTCCCTGCTATTTTAGGAGTTTGTAACAAGTTCAGAGATTATGGACAAGCATTCTATGCGGGTATTCTGGACGATGGCACCGGCCAAAGCCTTCTTTGGCATGCATACGAGGATTCTATGCCGCAATATAAGGATTTCCATGCACCATCCTGGACCTGGATCGGTCGCTCAGGCAAGCCTTCGTACTATATTCCTTGGCCACATGAGGCAACCTCAAGAAGTCTAACTAATAGCATGTCATTCCAAACGCGAACATATTGCGATTCTAATAATTCGTACGGTCTGTGCGAGGGTACCTGCACCTCGGGGGATGTTTCTCTCGTTGCGCCAATAGGAGAACTTTTTAGGTACGAGAAACTGTACGATATGGAGTTTGAGGGTTTCGATGGTCCAATTGAAAGAGCGCCTAACCAGCTTCTAATCTGGGTACTCGGCTCTGGAGTCCATCGTTTAGGCGTTTCAATCCCTAGATACGATATTGAGAGAGGAATTACTATATACAGTCCACGCAATCTGTTTTTGCCCCGCCATACAGAGTTTCTGCAGGACTCTGGCTGTATTATAGGCTATTTCGTCCCGGATGTGAGCAGATCTAATAACGAGCCCATTTCGGTAATTTGTGCTGGAGTTCAGCTGTGGGAGTCTAATGGATCGCTGGAAAGACCGTATGGTGGGCATGTTGAAGGTTACGGTTATAACCAGGAAAAATGCATTGATATAATTGGACTTGAGAAACTAGCGGATACCCCTACGAGATATCGACGAATTGGCCGAGGTAGGATAATATGCAACGCTTGGCTCGGTCAATGTACAGAGAAGAAGATCACTATCGTTTGATAGTATTTAGTTCCAAGATGCAATGAAAACAAAAGTATTTTCCCGTGAGCGTTCTGCAGCATAATGCAAGAGCCGCCCCTGTCCTACCAGGTCGAGACCAGTGAAGTAGCTTCCCCAAGTATATCAAGAGTTTAGATGATGGCTATGTAGAGCATAATTGTTGTAGTCATCTTGGAACTAATAATAGGTTGTCGTTTAGGTAAATAGTCATTTTGTTTGAGTCCGACGGCCATTTGATAAATAAGACCGGAGGGCAATCCCTAACGAGTACATATATTCGAATGTATAACTGAGTTATATATTCCTATGGGCCAGCGCCTAGCCTATTCTAATAAGGCGCTTATACATCCCTACCTTTAATGAAGAAAGAAGCCAACACCAATGGACGATAGATAGTCACGGACAATAAACACTACAGTAACAAGTTATACACTATGATGATGTAGTAGAATATGTTAGCTTCGAATAAAATAAAAAGAGGAAAAAAAGTCTTTTGGAATATGCTCGCCTAGTTCAATTGTTGTAGAGATTGCTTTTGAATCTCAAATAAAAGGGGTTGACAAGAGAGGAGTTAGTTGCATGAGTAAAAAGGAATTTCTTCCACACAATTCGCGTATATAAGTAGTATAGGCGCTTAAGCTAATCTTCATTACTTCGAGTCCCTTAAGAAAATAAAAATAAAAATAAAATAATACCTTATAGTCATTTATCATCAACTAAACATCAAAAAAGGAAAAAAAAAGATTGCGGTGAGTGTGGATCGAACACACGGCCTTCAGATTTAAAGAATGAAGTGAACTTCAGTCTGACGCTCTCCCAGCTGAGCTATCCCCGCTTTATTGTCAGTCTAAGTTTAAAGGTTATATTCAAAAGTCCAGGCCGAAAGTCTGCTAGAAAGTTTGCATAGGTAAGTTTACGAGACGATAAGTTAGATCTATTCCTTGGAAAGCCTTACTTACGGGTAGCATATTTAATGTACCCATTGAAAAAAATTGTCTAGCTATAAACGCGTGGTGCTATTTCGTAGGCCATGCTGTTATATCTAACGATTTTGCTCGCGAGAGATTGAAACATATAGAGATAAGCATGGCCTTAAGTTGAAGTTCTAGGTTATTTCGAATCATCTAAACTTTAATCTACCAACTTAACTCTTAAGTTAAATCATGCATGCAACCTAGGTCCTCGGCGATGAAAAGAAGACGAAGAAAAGAAAACAGACAGAAATGTGTACCTAGGTAGGTATTTATTTTCTTCATCGGATCTTAATTCATCATTGAGAAAAATTCGTAAACGTTGAAATATTCTTTCGTTGGTTTTAAAAGCTTCTAGATTTTCGAACTCCTCCCATAAATAAACTCCATGAACTTAGATAATTTGTTCAATGCCTCGTATTTAATATTCTCTTTCATCTTCAAGTCGGGCCTCAAGGGTAAAAAGGGTTAAAGTTCATTTATGTCATCATAGCGCATAGATGATAGTTGATATAAAAGAACCGCCATTGGAGAAGACTTTTACACTTGGGACACGAAGCAAAAGGTAGCTCATCATGGACCTGTTTTACCTTGAGATCTGAGACTCAGTACCTAACGTGTAACTTTTCTAGCTTCCATAGTGAATTTGCTGGATTATAGCCATGCTTTTCTCAGACGAGGCGGTTAAGTGTCGAATTGAGGAATAATATCCTTTCCAGAGACGGATCTCGAGAGCGACTCCCGTCCTACTCGTTCTCGTTCTTTGAATAACTAATAAACCTGATGGTATAATCCCTATCGGGTAAGATTAAATGAATTAGTAAGTTTGAATCAAGTAGGAGTAAGTATCATTAGTAAAGCCTAACACTCATTGCGCAGATTTTCTAGTTAGGTATTGTAAGTACGAAAGTTTTGATATCTCAAGATCGACGCCCTGTCATTGGCCAATCCCACCAGACCGCCCGGCAGTATCATGCACGAAAAATGTATGTGGAATTGATTGAAGTGTCGTAGGAAAATGTGTTGAACACGTAAGTAATTATAGGAAAACAAATTTTCCTCAAGTTACTTAACTATATGTAGCTGCCTACATAATCTAACAATAGTGCGCATTTACCTATATTTTAAGTGTTATAGTTACCAGTCATGCAATGTAAATGGGAGCTCTACGAGTAATGGTATATAAAACTAAATATCAATCAAGAATATCATCCAATCAGCGGGGATAGCTCAGCTGGGAGAGCGTCAGACTGAAGTCCACTTCATTCTTTAAATCTGAAGGCCGTGTGTTCGATCCACACTCACCGCATCTTGTATCATTCTTCATTCGATCTTTCGGGGTTGTGATGGTTTTTTTTTTCGCATTTTTTCTCTCTTGTTTAGATCCAGACTTTAGTTCTACTATGTTTGATATGTACTTGCCTTAATTTTATGATATTTTACTTTTTAAGCTTAAAAGAGTTTGACTTGGTTAAACCTTCTTTGAAACTTAAGCGAGAAGCACAGTGCATTGTATTTCACGTACTTACATAATATACGGATTACCTCAGGTACAAATTACATAAGGTACATGTAGCGTCTAGTTTTTCCACTACGCAGTTAAACAGCATAATGAAATAGACAAACAAACCAATCAGAATTCTCCTGTTCATAATTTTCAGGTTTACCATCGTTCGTAGTGGCTCACTTGTGATTCAGCCACGAATCACCCCTCATTGCCGACCCTATGTGTAATTTTTGATACCCCACCGAACTTTGAAATACATAACTCGTAACTTTCTATCAGGCGCATTTTGTCGCAACATTTTGTCGCACCAAATTCAACGTCACCCTTTGTTCCTTATATCGTTGGCCTCACGATATTAGGTGACATTTAACATATTCTTCCTTCTACCTCATATCCCTTTACAAGGAATTGGTCGTCATATTCCCCTACTATGGCTTCTAAGCTTACTCGGTACGTAAACTATGCGATTTCATTGAAATTCATCCCCTGCTTTGTACTACTATATATATGCTAACTATTTGATCTTAGTATCGCCATCGTAAACGATGACAAGGTGCGTTTGATAATATTTACTCTTCTACTTGATAGCGTTAGGATTAAGCTAATATATGATGTCTCGTAGTGTAAGCCCAAGGTAAAGCGACTTGAGACCCGAGCAATAAAACCTTATGATGATGCTTACATTCTATAGAAATGTCGACAGGAATGCAAGAGGTCTTGCCCGGTATATATTCCCTCTCTTTTTTTTTTTCTCCTTTCCGACCCCTAGAACTAAAATAGTGGAATTTATAATCCTCAGTAAATCGGTAACTTATTGTATACTTGGCAGGTCGTTCGTAGTGGAAAGCTTTGCATCGAAGTTGCCCCGGATTCGAAGATAGCTTTCATCTCCGAAAGTCTTTGCATTGGATGTGGTATCTGTCCCAAGAAATGCCCCTTCGATGCCATCACCATCATCAACCTACCCACCAACCTCGAAACCCAGGTCACCCATCGATACTCCGCGAACAGCTTCAAGCTCCATCGATTGCCGACGCCGCGACCTGGCCAGGTGCTGGGTCTTGTCGGAACCAACGGTATCGGAAAGAGCACAGCTTTGAAGATTCTCAGTGGCAAGCTTAAGCCTAACCTAGGAAGATATGAGAACCCGCCGGACTGGGAAGATGTCATCAAGTACTTCAGAGGATCCGAGTTGCAAAGTCAGTCAGCATTTCCATTTCACTAGCAAGCATGTTTCTCTTTGAATTTTAACTGACACGTAACCTAGACTATTTCACCAAGGTCCTTGAAGATGACCTAAAGGCCGTTGTCAAACCCCAGTACGTTGACCAGCTCCCGCGAGCTGTCAAGACGCCCGACAAGAGTGTCAAGTTCCTCCTCGAGCACAGATCCGCAATGGGCAATATGGACTTGGTCCTTGACACCTTAGAGCTTCGTCATATCTTGGACCGCGATGTTAACCACTTGTCTGGTGGAGAATTGCAACGATTCGCCATTGGAACAGTCTGTGTCCAGAAGGCTGATGTATACATGTTTGACGAGCCTTCTTCTTACCTCGATGTCAAGCAGCGTCTTTCTGCAGCTCGAATGATCCGTTCTTTGCTCGGCCCGGATAACTATGTTATTGTTGTCGAACACGATTTGTCAGTCCTTGACTACCTTTCCGACTACATTTGTGTTCTCTACGGTAAACCCGCTGTATATGGTGTCGTTACTCTTCCCCACTCGGTCCGTGAAGGCATCAACATTTTCCTTGACGGTCATATTCCTACCGAGAACTTGCGGTTCCGAGAAGAATCTTTGACGTTCCGTATCTCGGAGGGCACTGATGACTTCCAAGCCGACAAGGCTCGCGCCTTCAGCTACCCTAAAATGGAGAAGACTCTCGGAAACTTCAAGCTCAACATTGACGGCGGTGACTTTACCGACTCGGAGATTATCGTCATGATGGGTGAAAATGGTACAGGAAAAACGACCTTCTGTAGGCTTCTGGCCGGCGCTCTTAAACCTGATAATGCCGAGAAGGTTCCCGAGATGAGAATCAGCATGAAGCCTCAAACTATTACCCCTAAATTCGAGGGTACCGTCCGACAACTATTTTTCAAGCGAATCAAGCAGGCATTCCTTTCCCCGCAGTTCCAGACTGATGTCGTCAAGCCTCTTAAACTGGATGATTTCATCGATCAAGAAGTCAAGAACCTGTCCGGTGGTGAACTGCAGCGTGTGGCTATTGTCATGGCACTCGGATTACCAGCTGACATCTACTTGATTGACGAGCCGTCGGCCTACTTGGACTCCGAGCAGCGTATCATTGCAGCACGCGTGATCAAGCGCTTTATCATGCACGCTAAGAAGACGGCTTTCATCGTAGAGCACGATTTCATCATGGCTACATACTTAGCAGATCGCGTTATTGTGTTTGACGGAAAGCCGGGTCTCGATGCCCATGCTAACACGCCCGAGTCGCTACTCACTGGATGCAACGCTTTCTTAAAGAACCTAGATGTCACCTTCCGTCGTGACCCGACAAACTATAGGCCTCGTATCAACAAGCTGAACAGTCAGTTGGACCAGGAACAGAAACTGGCTGGAAACTACGTAAGTTAAATTTGCTTCTAATGTTTCATCGAGGCTTATCGCTAATATAATACATAGTTCTTCTTGGAAGAGGACAGCTCTTGAAACGGGCGTCCCACGTGATAACGGCTACCATCAAGGCCGCAAGCATCATAAAAATACCCCATCAGCATCGGATACCGGCATTTTAGGCGTACAAAAAGGGGGGTCGACGCGCCGAGAGAACGGGAGCGCGCATGAGTTATCCGGCATGGATGCGGATGGTGGGGAGGAATGCGATGATCCGGACGAACATCGAGTGCGGCGACAGTCTACCCCCGTTCGTCTAGTCCTACAAATATTAGGTTCTGGGAGCACCTCTTGCTGCTTGATAAGGCAAGACTGCGTTCTAGCCACGACTTATCTTGCTGCATAAGTTTATTAGGGCGTTACTAGATCCGTTGGCTGCAGAGTGAGGGACGAATGGCCCAAACGGATGACTGTCGCCATATCTACCGATGGCATATATATAATAACATGTGTCGTTGGGGCTTTGAGATCATCGTTGCTATTAAGGATAGGTAGATAGAGACTTCGCCCGCAGAGAAGAGACGGGGAAAGAAATACACGGCTTGTTCATCAGAATGTACCTCGGTGTATTTTAGTGAACTAGACTGTTTTATTTATGATATGGTGAACTCTCTAGGATGATTAATGCTTCAATTACCTCATAGGCACTCCCTCTTAAGATATTACAAACGTGTAGGTTGTAGGTAGTAAGTAATTCTTGCACGTAGCACACCAGACTAGGTCGTATTATAATAGATAATAGCTATCTTCTAGTTTCAACCGTCGAGAAAGTTTCATTTCACACAGCAAAGGAAAAGAAAAACATGCGAATAAGCAATGTAGATAAAACCAGGATTATTACACTATCTACTAAAGTCCGATTTTCTCTATTAGGGCAAAGGAGGGAAAGTATACACACCGAGATCGTATTCCAAAGAGTCTTTTTTTTTTCTATCTGGCCCCGGGCCAGACCTATTACCACCGTATTAAGTCCTGCAGAAGCGTGAGAAACCTCTGGATGCGTAAAAAAACGAAACGACCAAGTCGGCGTTATAAATGAACGTACAGGGAGAGATGTGCGCGAGTCTTCTTTTTAGCTTTATTCAACGGCGATACTATGGGAGGGCGAAGTATACGATGGCGAGTTTCCGAGCTGCATCCGGGTGTCCCAAATCATCTAAGCTCCACAAAGAACGTAGTCGGAAATTGACACGTACTTTTTCAGTTTATTGATGAGCCTTGATGGTCAATACTAGGGCGGAGCAGCCCATGTCTTGCTTGGAGACGCCTAAGTATGGCAAATGCTGCGGTTATGTAGTGGACCTTGACCGTCTAATCTCGGCCTAAGGCTATCGTTGGAGCTTGGAGTGTATGAATCAATTAGGGGGTGGGGGATAATATCAAAGATACATTGTATAGATCAATCAAAAGGCTAGTCTTCTTCGATTTCACCCTCTTCGCTACCGGAGTGCACACCAGTGTCGTCTTTGGTAGGCGGCTGAACTGCTGGCGGTGGTGTCCTAGTTTTAGGACGAGGTTCACGATGGGGGGAACGCTCACGGGGTGTTCTTTCTCTTCTTAGTCTCTGTATTCGCGTTAGCTGGTTATGATTAATGATAGGGATAATCGAATCATACCTTGGAGTCTCTAGAATCGTGACGATCGAGGTCATCGTCTTCCGCTCGGCGGCGTCGAGATGAGGTCGGACGTTCATCCCCATAAGGTAGTTCTTCGACGGGGCCTCTCTCAACGCGACGCCGATACTGCCGCTCTCGTTCTTCTTCCCTATCCCGTCTTTCTCTATCATAATGACTCGGTGGATCATCACGTCGAGATCGAGGTGGGTATTCCCTATCCCGGTCTCGGTCCCTATCTCGGTCCCGTTCACGTTCACGCTCCCGGTCGCGGTCGCGGTCACGTTCACGGTCTCGATCACGGTCCCGGACATCACGGTCTCGATAAGAATCCGACGCCCGACGGTCAGATAACAAACTCTCAGCCATACTGGACTTACGATAATTCTTCTCGCGCTCAGCAATAGCTTTGCGGCGGTCTGCTTCATATGCATCTGGCTCCGGGCTGCGGCTATGGCGTGGCGGTCGTGCGCGGTCACTACGGTGAGAACGATCTCCCCTATCTCTATCTCGGTACGTACCACGATCAATAGACCGTTCACGGCGTTTATGACGATCCCTATCTTCATCTTCCCGATCACGAACTCGGCGAAGGACCTTCTCAAACGCGCCACGGCGCGCATCTTCGGATTTGACGGCTTGGAATTCGGCTGCGCGGGCAAGACGGGGTCGAACCTTTTCCCAAGTATCGTCTACAGTAATTGGTGGGTCTACGTGCTTAATGTAAGACCGGAGGTCATCAATGGCCCTCCTCTGCTGTCTCTCAGAGTGTTTATCCTCATCGGACCGTTTGGACTTCTTTTCCTGAAGCTATTAAATAGGTCAATAATAAAGTCTTCAACAAGTTATATCTTGAACATACCCGTTCGAATATCAACATTATTATATCGCCATCAATGTTAGCAGTACGTCGATCATTTTTCAGTACAGATGAAAATTCTTCGAAAGTGGTCTTGGGGGTAAACTCAAAACGGTTGTCCTGGATTCAACGTCAGCTAACCAATACCATCGAAGGAGAGCAACGAAATACGACTTACATCCATGACATCGAGCACGTCGTTACGTGTTGTGCGGAGGGCTCGTTCCTCTTCCTCGACGATATCCCAGAAGAGATCAAGAGGGCTTGATCCAGCCTGGCCGCAAATCGACTTGAATCGTTCATCATTCTCGATCAGGGGATATATTTGACTCCATTTAGTTCCGGCCTTGATCTTACCAGCTCTACGAAGCTCCTGAAGCAAGTCTGTGAACGCGTCTCGTCGCTTCCGCTCGACGCGGAGCTTTTTATTTCTCTGGTTCTGTCGAGTCTCATTAAAGCTCCGTTCCAAGGACTTGATATGATTTTGAAAGGCAGTCAGGATATCAAAGTTGGTAAGAGTTTTGTACTTCTCATCATTCTGGAAAGGAGCAGTTGCCTTGAGGATATTCTGAGCCTCAGACCAGCGCGTGTAGGGCTCTAGGTTGAGCTTAGGGAGAAGATCAATGAGACCATCCATTGCGCTCTTCCTGACACCGGCCTGGTTCTCCACGTGGGTCTTCTTCAGCTCTGCTATGTAATCCTCGAACAACTGACGTCGCTCGTCTTCATCATTAGTTGAGCGGAAGATTGTTTCGCGCTCGATGATGGGACGGGCGGTTTTCCAACGTGTATAATGCTTAATCTCAGGGTGGCTCTTGAGCATAGTAGCAAAATCAGCACGAAGTTTTGTCAACCTATCCTTTGCGCGCTCCTTGTCTTGAATAACCATATCTTGGCAGTACTTCTCGAAGGCAGCTTTTCTATCCTTAGGATCCTTGATAGATCGGTACTGAGGATCCTTTATCGTAGCCCGCATAGTCTGTTCCCAGGTCCAATCGGGCTGCACACCGCTCCGGCGTAGCAATTTCATGAAAGCAGCCTCAGCTTCTTCAGGGGTCGCATATTCGGGTTCGTTGCTCGCGGGAACAAATGCCTGGACACGCAAGTCACTACCATGTGTCAACTGACGAGACTCGGGGAAACTCTCTCGGTGATCGCGATAGTGATCGTAGTTGGAGTTCGAATATGAGTTATTGGAAGCATGTGGCGTAGCCGGCCTGCCTAAGTTAGAATAAAGTATAGAGGACATTCGATCAGATGCTTACGCGGGTGTCGAAGGTGTAGCTTCATGGCCTAATGCTTTTCTATAAACCTCGGGCATCTCCCAAGAACTTTGCTTCGTTTCAGTATTATACCAATACTTGCGCCCACCTTCGGCGGTATATTCCTTCCATGGCTGGTTCGCCAAAGCGCGCTGTGAACAAGATCAGTATACTGAAGCGACATGGACATTATAGACGCGCAAAACAAACCTCGGCAGGTGACATCAAATCTTCTGGTTTTGTCCATTGTGTCGCTTTAGTAATTGAATTATAGTAATAAACGCGTCCATCAGGACTTTTGTATTCTTGCCAAGGGTTTGGCTGGCCATAATGGCCGTTGGCTCCATTCATCATGGCTAAACTTTACGAGCGCTTTGTATTTCCCTATTATCAAGACGCCTAGTTAAATGCTTTCTCCCGTTAAAGGGAAAATGCAATTGATGGAAACTAAGAAATTAGAAAGTAGAAAATGCGGTCGGTGAAGGATCTCGGTTGGTTTTGACAGAGATGAATATCTCTGAGCCAACGGAATGAGGGATGCGAAGATTCAGAAAGCTACGAAATTTTAGCTCAAGAGGTTCGGAGTTGGGAAGGGAAGGTACGTACCTATTACCTTAAGTTACCTAAGGTAACTTTTTTTAGTACTTCGTACTTCGTACTAAAAGCTTAAGACGGAAAGGCGCATACCCGAAAATGCGTACAAGCAAAACGCACGGACCAATTAAGCATATTGCATTCATCGTGAAGCTTCAATAACACAAATAAGTGAAGGGTACTTTAGAGGTACGTATTCACATCTCCCAACTCCATCCTACATGATACTTGGACATATCTAATTTCGAAATGCGTCAACTTCCTACAAATAGTTCTGAGCATATTTATGATTAATATAGCATCATTTAGAAAATGTCCACTCCTTCGGTTAACGTAACTCCCGCATCGACTTTCGACCTTGTTGACGATTCAACCCTTACGTACTTCATACCCCTTGCCACGAATTTTGATGTTGAGGAAGCTTTTAAAAATGATGCGAATAAAACCGAAGAACCGTTCAGTTCTGTAGAACGGCGAGAGTCTCTTTTCTTCGGTATGTTATTCTATATCTCTTCCAAGAGGTTCATTTTCTCACCATGCTCATTGTTAGACCCCAGATGAATCCGTCGACATTTACTTCGTCCTTACAAATCCTCATATCCAAGAAGACGTCTTACGATCCTCCCTACGAAATGTAATTCTCTCTCTCGAGGCGCAAATCGTCAATGGAACCGCACTAGACCGCGACGGCCAACCAGCCTCCGAAGTCATTTTCACGGGGCCAGTAGAGAACCAAAAGGATCCGACTATATTGTTCAGGCTCTCAGGGGAAGATGATACCCACTCCGAAGACAATTTTCAGCAGTATTCCGTGGCCGTATGGAAGCAATCGGTATTTCTTAGTCGGCCTAGGATGCGACTTCAAAGCCCTTCTGTTATTTTCAATGCGACAGCGAGCTTCCAAATCGGAAACCAATCCTTGGCAGATGGGCCTCGAGATGGATATCTACCAAGTGGCATGGCATGGGGTCTCAATTTGCTCGAATCTTTCGGAAATGATCCTGCTATGAACGGGATCAAGCCCCATCTATCGGCACTACGAGTATCTCGTGTTGCGCCAGTCACACAACAAGCCAAGGGCCAACTACGACCTATCAAGTCTTCGTCTAAACTTTCTATGCGCATCTACCCAGCGGCGCATTCGCGCATGCGTTTTACCCATCTTAATACCACCCCTTCTACAGCAACCGTTCTCGCGATGCTAGAACTTGACTTTACACCCTTCTTTGAGTGTGAGATAATCCTTGACAGCATATCAATTACAGTCGTGGAGGGTTTAGTAGAAGATCTAGCAAATCAGTCTGGAATGCCGCTCCCTATATCATGTGTAGCTCACGACCATGTCACGTTTCTATATCGTATTTCACCGGCTGAAGCTAATGTTGTATCAAAAAATCCGATACGGGATCTTAGCATTGCTATCTCTGCGAAGGCTCTAGTTCGTCCAGATATATCCGAACCACGATTAAGCATGGCGTGGACTACTACGGTTGATTTCACGGTCCCCGTAAATCCAGGATACGGGTCCACCATGCAACCGATCCAACGCATGCATCGACCAAGTCAACTCTCGATCGGGGGTGACAGTACCATATCTTTAACGGCACCATCCGTTGCCCGACCAGACGCATTGCCCTCCCTCGAAGCCGCGACGACACGAGAGACCACTGTACCTGATATAGGAATTGCTATGACTTTCACTGGCCCGCCCCCAAGTCATCAGATCTTCCCCGGCGATGAATTCGTCTGGAATGTATTCGTCGTTAACCGATCGCCCGCGCCGTCGGCAGCACCAAGAAAGCTAGCAATAGTGGTGATTCCAAAGCGAAGGCGTAATGAATCCCGAGTTAATCGACCGCCCTCGATTTCTCGGTTGCCTGAAGTCTCGTATAGCCTATCTCAACAGCTAAAGACGCCAAGGGACCGAAGCGTGGCAGATGCTGTTCTTGACGAGAACGTGGTCCACGCCATGCAACATAACAGTATTGTCGAAGGCGCAGAGGTAGTTTGCCTAAGCGCAGATGTGAGAGTTGGACCGCTCGCACCCGGAGCATGTCACATTGCTGAGCTTAGGTTTTTGGCCTTGAAAGAAGGCATCGTAAGTGTTGAAGCTGTGAGAGTTATTGACCTCACCAATAATGAGCATGTAGATATCAGGGATTTACCCACCGTCATTGTGCAGAGTAGATAGGCGCAAACCAACATCCATAATTAACCTACTATACTACCTACTCTTCAATACAAACTTCGTAATAAGTATTCCGAAATACAGAAACCGCCCAAATAATTATATTAGCTCTCTTTCCGAAGGCATTAACTCCCTTCACATATACCACGCACTATAGATACGCATCCTTATCTTGTGTATATCAGCATACGTAGGAGACACTTAGTACCTTGGATATGATTGTTAACAAATTTCAGTAATAATTGAGGCTTCAACATAATCTCATATGTCTACGACCGAGAATCCTTTCTCTCACTCGCCCCTTTCCCTGATGCTCCCAACCCCGGTATTAGTACTCCACGTATTTATCACCTACTAAATGTGGCTTGACATAACTTCCTTTCGTGGTAAAACTGAGACATTAATAAGGCGTAGTTCCACTGACATCCATGATGTGTATGTTTTTTTTTTTTTCAGCCAGAGCGTAATGGATGAATTCGTATACATACGTCGTCAAACACGTATCCAGCAATGTCAGCTTCGGCAAAGCATTATAAAACCTACCTAAGAATCAGGTATATTTTCCTTCATCATTCTCGAGGTGAGTTGATTCAAAACAGCAAGCGCCGCAGGCGCCTAGGGTATGTTACCCCATGCCAAGGAGCAAGGGACGATTGAAGTCTTCCGCGCTTCACGCTTCGTTCGTGGGGGGGGACATAGGTCGGTATGTATAAGACTTGTTCGCTTCGCTTAGGTAGGTAGTTCCCATCGGGTTTCGAGATGGGGTTCTCGATTCTTTGCCCTCCCGGAAAGAAATCCGGTGGCCGGGGAGTAAAGAGAAATATGCTGCGCCGAATGGGCAGCCCGTGGGGCCTTGTCCTGGGCACAACTAGGTAGGCAGGTCGCGGTCGGTTGTGCAGGCATAACGTCTTGGGAGCGTCCAAGCGCACCTGGGCATGTAACATCGCCTCGTGACAATGCCGGCTGCAGGCTTCGGGGGCCCTGGTCCGCATATTAAGGTGGAAGGACGCCGTCTTCTCGCTTCGGCCGTATTTAAGCAATTTTTCCTTTCCTCTTCTGGTATTTTCGCTCAGACGGTCTCGAACACGTCCGTGGGACAATGTAGTCAGGGAATATGTTCCCGTCGGTCGTTCTAACTGTCAGGCACATAACATAGTAGAAATGCCGTCGACTTTGGTACGTTTAATATCGGTTGGTTTGGTATTTAATCCCTTGGAAGATACTGTGGCCAGCAAGGTCCATGATACTGAAGAGTATAGCTAGCATGGTTTCTATTTACCTCGATTAAAGGAATTAGCTACCTAAATCAACTACGCCGCCAAGCGAAGTCATTCAAGCCCAGTCATGTAGCCAATTCTTCAGTAACGTCGGGACCGAGCATCAGAGCACATTGACCGGCGAGGTATAACTCCTACAGTACAATTTCAGGGTGATTAAGTTCAATATGAAAAGCAAATGCTATTAAGAATTAGACATGAGAGTAATATTTTTGCACTCTAACATTTCAGACGTGGTGCATTAATATAGGTATATAACACTTGACCTCAATCGTGAAGGGAGTATTTCCTAGAGTCAGATGTTGTAATACCTATTCGGAATGAAGTTTAAAAGTCGTCACGATAGTAATATTCGGCACGAAAGTGCGAAACTCGCCCGCACGTCCGGCAGTTGGCAAGCCGTCAAATCTATAATCTGGGGATAGCGAACTAAATGTTTTTTAAAATATGAAACCGAACACTCCAATAGCATATTCGGAGATTTACCGTCGCTAAAGTATGCAGACCATTCGCTACCCATTTAGACGGTAGCTGTTCTCTGTTCCTTCTTCTACGATGTTACCATTGACTTCTCTTGTGGTATACGATCTAATTTCCAAGAGTAGACTCAAATGCCACCTAGGTATCCTGGCCGACCCCGGCGGACCGGATCGCCTTCCGAATTCGTCTGAGACTGGGGGTTAAGAGTGTACCTAATGTAAATACTTAGTATGTAGCGGATGGCTCAAATACAAAGCGAAGTATCTTTCATCAGCCCTTGACCTTGGATGATGTACATATTTGCGTTCGCAGTAAGAGATTTCACAGGCAGAGTTAAGCATACACGTTCGATCTAATGTCGACACATTTACAGGGGTTCCATGAGGTGGGGTCGTTCCTTGAAGTGCAGCAATACGGCGCAGATTCAAATCGGGCTGCTATGATCCGAGCAGGCATTGTGAGACACATGTTAGCGATGTCGTCAGGAACAGGTAAAGCCTAGTAGATGAGACACTTGACGGCTCGGATTCCGGAGTCCAGCAGGACGGATACGTAGATGACATGTAAATGAACTCAACACATCGGCCGCTGGAGACACGTGTAGGTAATAAGAAATAAATATGTTTCTGCATAACCATAACACCCTGCGCGTCTTGTCGCTGTTAGTCAGTGACTTCGCGTAGTTTCGAGCGATTTAGGCTGTCGATCACCACGCCAAGGGGAGTGGAACTCGGCAGAGAATATTAAGCGTAAATTGTGGACAAACTCTTCAACCGATATGGATATCATCGCCGTGCCTTGCATTCGCAGTAACACTCGCTATTCTCATTGTTATAAGTGTCAACAGAAGCGGAGAGGGAAGAGAAGGGGGAAAGGCGATACCACCTATGTAGGCGATGTCGACTATTACATATATCAGACACGATAGAGTTCATCGGTTAACCCCCAAAGCCCCTAATCCGTGTTATCAATGCGGGCATATCAGTAGCTTGTGAATCGTTTAAATAAAGTTGCCAAATTCGAATTCTGAACGTAGGGGCGTGGCACAGCAGTTTATGTCTTTGCGCGAGTCCGTTCCACGTCTCACTCACGAGGCTACCAAAGGTAAACATATTTACATCGGCGTCCCACGCCACTTCAAATGAGTGTTGGTACGCATTAGGTAACTTTGCGGCTTATTAAATACCGAGATGGTAGGTAGAGAAAAATGGCATATGTATGGAAGCTCGTGGCGCATATGCATACTACATAGGAGTTCGTGTATAGTACGTTACATTTAACTCATTCCCTATACATAGTAGTCGAATCGTTTCTATCGTTTCATTGGCCACAAAGAACCAGCTAGCCAATGGTTCCTCCAAGGGAGTATACAAGGGACCCCAGCTCACAATATAAACAAGGGCAACTACATATGTAGAACCCCCAAGTGCATAGAGGCCGGGGAAGAAGATGGTGTTATGCCCCAGATACGAGGTGTTACGCCAAGTAGTATAGAATAACACCCGGTTTCATTACTCTGATGCCCTATATGACTATTAACGAGAAAGAGCCAAGTTAGCAACTACTAGTATATATATATAGGAAATATCCTCCTTCAAGAGGGTATAATGAGACCCGGATAGGAAACCATAAATGGTATGTACTTGAGATACGGAGCCACTTATATCGCTGCACATCGTAAATCATATTTAATCGACATACGTTTATAGAAAAGAGCGACTCGGCCAAGACATCAGGGGCCTCATCCAAGCGAACGCAAAATTGTAAACCCATGGCTCGCCATCGCCTAGATCATCCTAGGGTACTACGTTGAATCCCTTCATAGTCTAGCGTACGGTCCTACTCGGAGCGTCCCAAGTCGCTGAGATACCGCGTTACAACCACGCATTTCTATTATTTTAATTTTTTTTGCTTGTAACGGGCCGGCGATCATTTCGCAATTTGTCTAGGAGTTGCGGCACGACAGGTCAAGTATCCGCATTGAACTCCCCTGCTATAGATCCGAACATCTGCAACTGGACTTGCGATGGGGGTCGTGCTCTGATGATATACATATTCCCCGGCGCCACTCAGTTGATCGGAGTCCGTCCCTTCGGGATCTTGCTGCCCACTCTACTCCCCTAAACTTTATGTTCAACATCGCCTCGGTCCCTGAGGCAAACAGGTCAAAATGGCGGCAGTACAGGATACCTTAGGGCCCATGATGAATGCTGTTAATTGGGCGTTGACAGCATTGGCGGGAACGTTTCTTGGTCTACGACTGTATTGCAAGTTCAGTCGTCACAGGGGGTTATGGTGGGACGATCACATCTTAATATTCGCTTGGGTAAGTGATGAAATCTCGACTTCGGTTATAACAAGACATTTTCTAACCTACTATGGCGACGTTATAGGTATGCCTTATCGTCGCTGTCGGGTTCATTACCAGCTCGATTTCATTAGGATTTACCAGCCCGGCAGGACCTCAAACCCCTGAGGCTGCCATTCGACTTCAAATCCACGGAGGTGTACAGAATGTATTTTTCGGATTGGCCACGGTTTTGAGCAAGACCTCGTTCGGAGTTACACTGATGAGAGTCACTGAAGGCCGCATGAAAATGCTTGTCCTATTTCTCACCGTCACTATGAACATAGCCGTGTTTCTATACATTATATTCACCTTCTTTAAATGCAAGCCGGAAATATATTCTTGGATCAAAGGGCCCGGTTGCTGGAGCACCGAGAAATATATTCACTACGGTATATTTGCTGGTGGTAAGTGAATTCTATATTATCCTTTAAATGTATGATGTGAACTAGTTCGCTGACTCGCGGTGTAGGCTACTCCGCTTTCGTGGATTTCTCGTTTGCGATTATCCCCTGGTTTTTGATCATGAACCTTCAAATGAGGACGAGAGAAAGATTCGGCGTTGCTATTGCTATGAGCTGCGGTGTAATGTATGAGTCACTACAACTAAGAATTCGACGGCTTGCTAATTACCGTCTAGTGCTGGAATAACCGCCGTGATGCGATGTATCTATCTGCCACTCCTCACTATCGGGACATTCTCGAGTAAGTTAATTGCGCTATAATATGTGCGCTTGTAAACTCGATGACTGACTCATGATTAGCTCAAGGCACAACACTGGTAATATGGTACGTAGCTGAATCGTCGGCCACCATCGTCGCGGCATCAATCCCTGTTTTACGAGCCTTGATCAAAGAAATATCCTCGTCCATGGACCGTTACAACCGTAGCACTGGCAATAAATCAGGCCTAAAGAGTCATACGAAAGGCACCCCGAGGGGCCTACATGCTAGCAATGTTGTAACGACAGTTATCAGTTCTCGGAGAGATCCACATGATCCCCACGGCGACGCGAGTAGCGATAAAAGTATTCTCGATGGAGCACACGCACCGGGAAAATCCTCCGAGGGGAGTAGAGGGATTATGCAAACACAAGAAGTCAGGTTGAGTTATCACGACCGAAGCGACAATGACAGCGAACAAGGATACGAGATGGAATCTATGGGAAGGAAGTCGCCTTAATTTATGATACCCGCAATAGCTATGCCTAGCAGGACTTAACAGCTCTGCCGAATTTATGTATAAGATATTGTACGATTTACATGCGACATGTTATAAACCTCAACAGCCTATTTTCAAACGTACTCATGGAAGCGCCTCTAGGGTCGAGCCTATCATCGAGGCATAAACAGGGGCTATAAATATGTTTCATCTTGATCACAGTAGAAAGCGTATGCGGTTGCCACTATTTTCTTACCTAAGTCGGTCCTCACATCCTTTATGAGTATCCCATGATAGATATCTCATTGCTAATAATGAGCCCATCAACACTTAGTTCTCTCATTTTAACCCACGATCTCTCTACCGTGACAATATACAACATTTACACTAGGTGTAAACCAGTTAGTTTGTGGGCTTCAATGGAAATTGCGTGATTTGCTATATTGCAACTACAGCAACATTCCTGGTAAAGATCTACATCGTACCCTTGGTGTTCTACGTGGTTAATGAATTATGTAACCTTGTTCGAGAATCACTTTGTAGTTTCTGGAATAGGCCGAGAAAAAAACTTCAATTGATAAACAGACGTAACTTCTTTAGGGAGGTTGTATTACACATAAATAAGTGGTGGCTAACATGTGAATATTTATCTTGATCACCATTATAGCTTAGCTTTCTGAATTCGTACGTGGCTTTTACTAGTGTACATTGAGTACTCTACCTACCTCAGGTACCTTAGGTAGACATAAGTCTTATTAAATATAAACTCTATAACGTTAAGGAGATATTAATCTACGTCGTCGCAGAGTTATATATAAATTTGAGGGGTGGAGACAGCTACGACATAGTGATTCTTTATATGGAGACATTTAATAGTGTTACAATTCAGCTATGTATGCTCTATCACATGAGGTTATTAGGTGGTCTTTCTATATTGTTATTTGATCACCTAGTTACCTAGATTTATTGTTCGTTGGTCCCATGTCACGTGATCGCCCTTGTGGTATGTAATGAGTAGTGGGAGATACCTACGGTTGAGTAGCAAATATAATATTTTATATTTTGGGTATTTAAATGATTGGGTTTGGTAAGATGCATTAAAGGAGTATTGATTTCAGTTTCCATCCATAAATATGTAAAATAATATGAGTAGTAGGTTAGACAAGTAAAGAAGCATAACTCGTAGAGATACGATAAATCAAATATTAATTTAGACATGATCTTCAGTCTAATAATACATACTTCTCTAATAATACTTCAAACAAGATGCACGTGTGCCCAAGTGGCGAATAGTTTAAAAATCAACTATGTAACCATTCGATCACGACAAGCAAACGTCGATTTCCTGATATCAAAAATCAAGGGGTCTCTTAAATCATAGGCACTGATAATATTGCGGGATGGTGCGCGATATGACAACATCCCGCTGTACGCCAGACCGAGAAGGGTTAAGTTTTAAAAGCCACATCTGCGACTTTATATGATTATTCCAGAATCCCGGCTAACATCCTGTACATAGTGCGGCTGAACTATTGATCAAGGAATGACGAAAGATGCGCGGATCTACACAAATAAATTTCATCAGTGCGGACCCTGTTCTGCGGCTCTTCTGGGTCTGGGTGCTGCTGATATGACAAGATGAATAAAGATAGGAGGTATTTACCTACTTTGGTTCCGGATAACCCGCAAAGTCCGGTTCTTCCTAGCGCCAACTGGTCTTGGTACCTTTGGGTAGGTTTACGTGTGTCAGTGTATGAATGAATGAATAAAAATGTTGTGTGCCGTGTGCCGCATCGTCCATCGTCGGATACTCGGAAGAGAGAAACCTGCTTACTCTTTTGTGGTCTCGCCCCAGAGCCCGTGACGTACAACAAAATCACTCAATATAAGTTACGGTGAAGTATCTCGACTAAGGTAAAGTATCTGATTCCGTATTATTTCGTTGCGCAACTCTCGTTTTCGTCGAGCATCGAATAGGCTCCCCCTAATATAACCTATTGACAATAACTTGTCTACTCGTTTGTTCGTTCGTTCGCTGTTCTAGTCGCAACACACAAAATATCTATACGTCCGCTTGAAAGAACCTTGGCATATATCCGAACTTACCGAACTACTAAAAAAAAATCATGGACGACTTTCCTAAGAACCTAATCATCGGACTCGTCGTCTGCGCTGTCGTCGTCGTGGTATCCGTTTGCCTAATTTATTATCTCGCCCTCAACTGGTCTAAGTTGGTACGACGAATTGCTCCCAACCGCTGGGCGGAACCACAGAGCGAAAAAGCAGAATGGCCGCAGCCAAGGAAATCCATCGAGACCGACTTTTCACCTACGTCTTCGCCCACATCTTCTCCTAGATCGTCAAAGATGAGCACCGATCCGATGATCGGACACTTCAAATCCCACGATGACGAACCAATAACACCCCCTCCCAACGTAAAGTCATAAAGAGGTGGCATCTCCCTTTGTTTCTTTCTGCCACATCACGAATTACGAATTACGAATTACGATTATTAGGCATTGCATTCACGGCGTTTTGAAGTAGTTTCGGGGTATGGGTTCTGGTATATCTAGATGCATGATCGCTCAATATGCTGGCTAGGCGTTGTGGAGTTATGAGACGATGGGGATATCGTCCATGACATATTTTTAAAAGGGCTGTGGGGACTGGAGATTGAGGGGTCACACACTAGACCATTAGATCGGGTTGCTCTAGAGTAGATTACAGCCTAGAACATCTCAATGAAAAGCTCTATGAACAGTAACTTCCCTAAAGCACACATGGTTGATCCTCGTAGCGAAGGTAGGGTTCTAGACTCCTAGTCTACCATCTAAAATGCCTGTTGGGATCAATATCATTTCGTCCGGTACACATTTGGGTCGCAACGTAACTCTGTTGGTCAATAGTTTTGATATATCAACACCGATAGACGCTTGGTAGTAGGTAACCCCTTTATGGGGTACCTATATGATATTGCAATGCCTCGTTGCAGTAAATAAGCCTTAAGCGGCTGGTATAGATGACTCAACACTACCATCTCAAACTCATATACATACCTAACCTAGTCTTAACCTCAATTAAAGGTTAATAAGTACTCACACCCCCTCTGTCCGAGTTTTGAAAAAGTAGTACAAATTGACGCTGCGACCCCTATTACTCTAGTAGCGGTGGCGATCGCGGCACCGGCAGCCTCAGCCTCTGAGCGCGAAGAGTTTTTCCTACAAAGTCCGCCGTAATTTCAACCGCATCCAAAGCCACGCCGAAAATAGTAGTCTTGGTCAAGGATTAGCATAGTGATGGGTCGGCGCCTAGGAAGCTCGCAACTTGCATCTCGAGCGACGCGAGTGCGAAAAGAGGATAAAATATTGCTCAAAAAGCTATAATAAGTTAAGAAATTCATTGGTTCGATATATTATCTTAACCAAACAACCAATAAACTCACCGATAACCATGCCTTAGGTCTACATCTTCATACTCTTATTTATAATAAGACTTAGTTAGATTAACACCGAAGGGCCACTGCTTATTGTATCAGGGCCGTGTGTATCGTAATAGTTAGATGATATATGAGTATCGTGACATTAGAAAAAGTCTTTACTTCTTCTAGTTCGCAGAGATCTACAGGCTGTCTAATGGAGCTTCTTGTGGGCCGCTCTATGGGCCGCTATGTCGATGTGATTCGTCAGAGGTATCCTATAGACCTGCATAATAATCCTTCGGCCCAACCCCACTGTAAAGCTTTAGGAAGAGTAACCGGGCTAGTCATAGCAGTATATATTCTCGTATCGAGCTCATAAATGTCTATATCATCCCCTTATTGTCCTCTGATAGAGCCTGGAGAGATCAGACTCCTTTGCCTTGAGCCTGCGCCTAACCGAGAAGCGCCTCTCAAAGGCTCATTCGAACATATCATACTTCCCGATCATTATTTCACCGACCCTTATACTGCTCTATCATATGTTTGGGGCGACGCTACAGCTGCAGATACAATACTTGTTGATGGCCATGTGTTCGGTATCACTGCTAATCTCGGGGCCGCATTGAGAGATATCCGTAATGACGTGAAGGTCCACCACCTGTGGGCGGATGCGCTATGTATAAATCAGAAGGATATTCCCGAACGAAATCAACAAGTCGCTCTGATGAGGGATATCTACTCTAGCGCAAGTAGTACGATAGCCTACCTTGGCGTACTGAGCCCGAGTGTGGAGCTTCTTCTTGAACAGGTACCAGAATGGATATTTGGGGCGTCGGACAGTATGCCTGATGCGAGTGTGACTCCTCAACAGCTGCGAGGGAGCAACGATAATCAAGTATCAAAAGGCACCTCAGATATTGTAATGGGAACTGAAGACTTGCTAATTAGACCTTGGTTCCGTCGAGCTTGGACATTTCAGGAACTGGTTTTGTCGAGGGACCCTTGGGTTCAATGTGGTTCAAGAAAGGTGCGATGGATGGACCTCTGCAAATTTCTCATTCCCCTATTAGAGACGTTATCAAGAACGGAAAACACATTGGCGCGTATAAATAAAGTCCACGATGCTGTCTACACCCGTAGTAATGTGGACTCCGAAATACTCAGTTTTTGGCGAATACTCGAGCTCCGAGGAGATAGCCAGGCAACTGACCCTAGGGATTTGATATATGCGAACATGGGACTTCACATGGACCGTCAAGAGGTCGGAGAATTCGTACAGATCGATTACAACAAGACGGCTCGGGAGATATTCATCGAGGTTGGCCTTTACGTGATGAAACATCTTGGTTTTAATCGGGCGTTGTCTAATATCTCCGTCTCCCCTCTCAGGTCTATTCTCCCATCATGGGTGCCTGACTGGGGTTTCGACGCCAAGTTGGAATCCACCAATGTCCAAGGGGTCGATGGGACAGAGCATAGCCTTTTAACATCAGAGAAGGATGTATTGCTAATCAGATCTAAAAGTCCTCCGCTAGTTGTTACTCACGTCAGCGAGATTCTGCCACCCCCGAGACCACCCCAGGATAGCTGCATGGACAATATG